GTGAACATTTTAATAATAATCTTTCAATCCATGAACACAGGATACCTCTACTTACTTGCATCTTCAATTTGTTTCACCAATGTTATAATCTAATATGTGCAGATCTTCCACCTCTTTGGTTGAGCTTAGTCCTAAGCTGTTGCTGTTTTTAATGTTTTGGAAATGGGACCCTTGCATTTCTTTTTCAGATAGTTTGTCATTAGTGTATCAAAATACTACTGTTTTTGTATACTGATTTTGTATTCTGTACCTTTACTGAACTTGTTTATTAGCTCTAACATTTTTGGTGGAATATTTAGGGTTTTCTACATACAAAAGCATGTCCTCTACAAAAACACTGACAATTTATTTCCTTCTTTTTTTTTTTTGAGTGGTCCTAGTGCAAGGGCACTCTACAAATGAGATATACTCCAGCCAATTATTATTGAGACAGTATTTTGCTGAATTGTTGAGGCTGGCCTCAAATTTGTAATCCTCCTATCTCCACTTCCCAAGTCATGGGATTATACATGTGTGCCACTGCACCTGACCTAACTTCTTCTTTTCTGCTTTGGGTACCTCTCATTCTTTTCTTCGCTCTAGATAAGACTTCTAGTACTATGTTGAACAGAGATGATGAGAGCAAGCATCCTTGTTTTCTTCATGATCTTAGATGAAAAGCTTTCGACTGTGGCTATTGGCTTCTCTTATGTAGCATTTATTACGTCATATATGGCCTTACTTCTAGGCTTAATTTGTTGAGAATTTTTATCATGAAAAGATGTTGAATATTATCAAATGATTTTTCTGAATTTATTGATGRTCATATAATTTTTATTCTTCAGTCTATTCATGTGGTCTATCACATTTATTGATTTGCGTATGTTAAGCCATCTTTGTAGCTGCTTTAATTCTCTATTTGGTACTTTGGTACTCTATTTATCCTTTAGTTTCACAATGGCAATTCCTTTACCTTCTCTGTTCTGCTCTAGTACTGAGTACAATATCAATATCCCAGAAGAAGTCAAGATACCAGCTATGTAACAGAGTTAACATCATTAAAATAGGACAGGGGATTTTACCTCTCTCTAGAATATTAGGGTACCTTCATTTCATAACACAGCAATTGCTACTTTTATGGGCACCCAACGAATAATTATTGAGCATCTACTATAGGCCTGGAACTTCACTGGGCTTAAGCACAGATAAATTAAATATATCAAAATTTGAATTTATAAAACAAGATACCTTAGAAAATTCATTTTTATGTACGTAAATACCTTGACATATATCTGAGCTATGTCAAATATTTATGAGGTGCTTCCATGTGCAAAACACTAATCTAAGAGTATACAGAGGCATCACATATTAAAAGTTAGCCCTACAGGCTAGAGTCATGGCTCAGTGGTAGAGTGCTTGCCTAGCATGTGTGAGGCGCTAGTTTCGATGCTCAGCACCACATAAAAATAAATAAAGGTATTGTGTCCACCTACAACTAAAAAATAAAAAAAATTAAAGTTATCCTAAATGCAAAAGTAAAAGAAATAGAAAAAAAACTGAGTTTAAGAACAGCACACATGCCTGGAGCAGTGGTACATGCCTATAATCCCAGTGGCTTGGGAGGCTGGGGCAGGAGGATCACGAGTTCAAAGCCAGCCTCCGCAAAAAGTGAGGCACTAAGCAACTCAGAAGACCCTGTCTCTAAATAAAATACAAAATAGGACAGGGGATGTGACTCAGTAGTTGAGTGCCTGAGTTCAAACCCCAGTACCAAAAAAAAATAAAATAAAACACAGCATACAGGTATGATCATTGTACTGGTGTGACTCTGCACCCTGTACAGCCAAAGGAATGAGAAGTTGTGCTCCATTTCTGTGCATTCTAYGGTCATGGATAATTAATTAGAACATATTAATTAATCAGAACAAATTAATAATAATAATTTTAAAAGAACACCACAAAATTCAAATTCTCATGGATTACAGAGGATAGCAATGTGATACAACTGGTACTTACTATGTGACACCTTTATAAATGCTTTGTCTCCCTTAATTCTGACAGTAACATTAAGTGGGTGTTGTTATTAGCTTTATTTCATGGGGATGAAGAAAGGTTAAATCATTTGCTCAAGGTCATATAGCTATTATAGAGCTAGAATTTACTTACTGCTAGAACCAAGAGTACTTATGTTTATGATACTATACTGCAAACAAAGAGGGATTTTTGGAAATGGAGAAATATATACAGATAGGTACATATTACATTTCCCAACAAGTACAGCCCTAGTAGCCTAACAAATTAACTTTTAACTCACGATAGATTATCAATTAGTCTACTGGAAAGTGTTTTCTAATGAAATGTGCCTTTGTTTTTTAAAACAAAGCAGTACAAAAATGGTTTGGCTTTACATATATTAACTTCTATCATCAATACTGCTAAAATGCTTCTAAAGGAAGAAGTATTCATGATGACTTACCTCCTATGGCTAGTGTGTTAGCAGACTGCCAGCCAAACAATCTGCTAGGATCAAAGGGTGACAATGACTGAAAAAGGAAAAAAATAATTCAAGTTAGAAGGTCACTGATTGTAAAATAAGTAAGACATGATGGCGCACACCTGTAATACCAGCAACTTGAGAGGTTGAGACAGGAGGATTRCAAGTTCAAGACTGGCCTCAGCAACTTATTGAGAGCCTATCTCAAAATAAAAAATGCTGGCAATGTAGCTCAGTGGTAAAGTACCCCTGGATTCAATCCCCAGTACCAAAAAATAAATAAATAAAATAAGTAATCACAATGATATATGCAAGGCTTTCAGAGGCAATCTGCTTCCCTTCTCCAGGGAAATTTAAAAACTTATAACTCAATGGTAAAGCACTTGTCCTGTGTTTGATCCCCAGTACCAAAGGAAAAAGAAAGAAAGAAAAAACTACCTGTACATAAATTGTTTGGAAATAGCTAAAAAGAATGAGACAGTTTTCTATTTTAATAAAAATAATATGTGCCTTTTAAAGATTCCTCTTAGTTCAAGAGACATTTCCAAAGTCTACTCTCTTGGCAGAAGCAGCATCAATTATAATATAACATGGACATTAGAAATGTTTTTGGAATCAAAAGGCAAGAGGCTGGGCTTGGTGGTTTGGGAGGCTAGGACAGGAGGATCTGTGTTCCAGGCCAGCCTCTGCAACTTGGCAAGACCCTGTCTCAAAATAAAAAATGAAAAGGACTGGGAATGTAGCTCAGTAGTAAAGCACTCCTAAGTTAAATCCTCAAAMTAAGGCAAGAGGACTTCAGGCTAGAAAATATTACCACATAAACATGATGAGATATATTAAGGGTAGGGAAGGAAAGGAAAAAGTAAGATGACTAGGATCAATGGTTGAAGGAATATGAAGACCACATCATCAACAAAGAAAAAGTGGTGGACTAAGGTCAAGATGGTTAGAAAAGGGTTGGCAGAAGGGAGTAGTGGGTGGAATCTGTCAGGCCAAAGATTTAGTAGTCTATGAATAGATGGTGGAAAGGATCAGGAAAAAATAAGCTAATGATCAGAATTTGATAACTAAGGAAAGAGCAACTTTAAATGAAGGAAGGAATAAGTTAACACACTGTACCACCTAAGTGACCTAGATGAATTTCTACCCACTATAATCTGGTTATCYTCAAAAACAGGATGCCTGTAGGACAGAAGTTCCTCTTTTTTTTTCTAAAAWTTTTTTTAAGTGTAGATAGCCACAATATCTTTATTTATTTTTATGTGATGTTGAGAATCAAACCCAGGGCTGGGGATGTGGCTCAAGCGGCCCGGGTTCGATCCTCAGCACCACATACCAACAAAGATGTTGTGTCCGCCGAGAACTAAAAAATAAATATTAAAAATTCTCTCTCTCTCTCTCTCTCTCTCTCTCTCTCTCTCTCTCTCTCCTCTCTCACTCTCTTAAAAAAAAAAAAAAAAAGAGAATCAAACCCAGTGCCTCACATGTGTGAGGCGGGCGCTCTACCACTGAGCTACAGCCCCAGCCCCAGCCGTTCCTCTTTAACCTAGCCAGATGAAACTAAATGGACCTAAGATGGCTGCCAGAGTAATTGCCAGACAACCTCTGACTTCATTATAATCCATCTGCATGCTAAATATTTAGCACATTCCCTCCAGTACTAAGACAGTTGACAATTGCCATGATGATGACCAGAAAGGATTATAAAAGGAGTGAAAAGAGGGCTGGGATTGTGGCTCAGCGGTAGAGCACTTGCCTAGCACGTGCGAGGCCCTGGGTTCAATTCTCAGTACCACATATAAATAAATAAAATAAAGGTATTGTGTCTAGCTACAGCTAAAAAAAATATATTAAAAAAATAAATAAAAGGAATGAAAAGAGGAAAATTTTCACTCATTTCCCTTTGTTAGCCCATCCCTCCCCTCATTTCATTTACCCCATTATCTATAACTTTCAGACCCCCAATGAGTTGAGAAGCCAATCAGTGAGCCTCTCTGCTTCTCTTATTACAGGCTAAGAATAAGTCTTTCTTTACCACTCAATGGCATTCAGTCTTGTTATTGGTTCCACAATTCCAAGAAGAAAAAAGGACCCAGARTTTGGGGTCAAAATTGGTAACCATAATTTTTCTAAAATAGCACTAAAGAATTCTATCAGTCTAGCCAGATATGGTGGTGCATGCCTGTAATCCCAGCAGCTCACAAAGCTGAGGCAGGCGGATCATAAGTTCAAAGTCAGCCTCAGCAATTTAGAGGCCCTAAGGAACTTCAAAAGATGCTGTCTCAATCAATCAATCAATCAATCAATCAATCAATCAGGCTGGGGATGTGACTCAGTGGTTAAGCACCACTGGGTTCAATTCCTAGTATCCCCCTCAAAAAAATCTTCAATTTAACAAAGAACCACGTGAAATCATTTATGTTTTAACTGACTCAAACCACTTTATGTAGTGAAACTATGCTTTCATATAATCTATTTGTAGTGCTACTCGTAAGTGCTGGTCTGCAATAAGACCCTTGCACCAGAATGTAAATCCGGCATACTGCTTCTTTCTTCAGGAAAGTCTGGCTACAGCTTACAATTAGACATTAGACAAGTGTTGGTGATAACAGACTTATGTTCTGACACAGGATCCAAATTTTGTCACAATCCAACAACAAGAGATCTCTTGGACTAGCACCAGTCTATGAACCACACTTTAAAAAAAAAAAATTATTCTTAAGTTTTAGGTGGACACAATATCTTTATTTTACATTTATGTGGTGCTGAGGATCGAACCCAGTGCCTCATGCATGCTGAACTACACACTTTTGATAAACACCAGTCCATCTCCTAAGAATTCTTCATATTAGAGTAAGAGAGATTTTGTACCTTTATAGAATTATAAAGCTTATGTTGGACTGAAGACCAACATATTTGAGAATATGAATATCAGAGGGAAAAAAAGAAAAAACCTTTTGAACTGAGCTAGAACAGATGTTCTTAATTGAGATCCCAGTATGTGAATCCTTTTTAAATATAAACAAAACTATAGGCTTTATGTGTAATTTTTCTGGGTATAGGGTTCATAGCTCTCTCACATTCTGAAAAATGTTAAGAAGCTCAAAGAGCTCTGATTCATTGAAAAGAAAATGTTAGATAGTTTTCACTGTTAAAACCTCCGGGGTGGTTTCTGCCCTTCTAGTACTGAGAATTGAACCCAGGGGCGACCTACCACTGAACTGCACTCTCAGCCCTTTTACTTTTTGAGACAGGGTCTCAATTGCTAATGCTGGCCTAGAATTTATGGAACCTCCTATCTCAGGTTTCCACATAGCTTGGGATTAAAAGCTTGAGCTACCATGCAAGGTTAATGGAGCAGCTTTTTATGAAAGCAGTGGATGGGTATTCTAGTCAATTGTTTGCTCTTTGCCACCTCTCCTGCTTTTCTTTATATTGCAAGAAACATGCATTTCCCAAGCATTATCATTTGGCTACCAGGGTAAGTATAGCCAGAAGAGATACTGTGGGAGACTCAAGAGAGATGAAACCAAAATGTTTTTACCCTGCTTTTTTTTTCTATGAGCATCTCCAAGTTTCTAGTTTTATCCTCTATGTTCCCAGCTCCCATTAGGTAGTCTAGTTGTGAGTTTAGATCTGAGAGATAGCTTCAGATTCTTAGTTCTAACAAAACCACTTTCTTGCACTGTTCTATCAGCCTCAGAGATGCTGACTGCTTCCTCACTTGTTGATTTTTGAGTTGCCTTAACTGTCACATTTGGTTTCTCCCTTCTGCTTCATCTTGTGTAAGTTTGTTCTTATGCTGAATGCCATCCACCTGAAAGTAGTGTTTTCTGTTTTCCTGGCTGAACCCTGACTGATACATGTAAACACCGGCTCCCTAAATACCATACCTGAATGAGGTGGTAGAGTGTAATATCGGCTGGCAGGACACTAGGAGAAATGCATTGCGGGAAGAGAGCAGTTTTTAGCTTTGGATAAGGAGTTAAGGCCATCTTTAGTAGCTGGGGATCCACTTTCTTCAAACTGTTTTCATTTTCTTCTTTCTGAACAACCTAAATAAAAAGATGGCAGTTACATTCCTTTCTCAAAACTTTAATCTCTTTTTTCACAAGAATTCTATAAAACACAACTAGCTTGAGAAGATTTGTGGTAGTGAAAAATAACTTTGGTAAACAAGTCACATAGATTAACAGTTCTAGTTCTGGTTCCAAGACAAACTAGCTGTATGACATTGGACCACATAYTTAATATAAGGCCTTAGTTTCCTCATCTGCAAAATTATGAAGCTGAGCTAAATTAGTTATTTTCAAACTATATGTTGTTTAAAATATTTAAATTCAGCCAGGTATGGAGGTATACACCTGTAATCCCTGGAACAAAGAAGGTTGGGGGTAGGAGGATTGCAAATTCAATGCCAGCCTGAGCAACTTAGTGAGATCCTGTCTCAAAATGAAAAAGAGCTGGCAGTGTAGCTCAGTGGGGTTCAAGCACCCTTAGGTTTAATCAATCCCAGCACAACACACACAAAAATTAAATATTTAAATTCAATATTCAGTAGTAAACACTAAAAAAAATTGTAGTTGTAGATTGTCAGCATGCCTTTATTTTATTTATTTTTGTATGCAGTGCTAAGGATTGAACCCAGTGCCTCATACATGCTAGGCAAGTGCTCTGCCACTGAACCCAAGTCCCAGCCCCAGCCCTGAGTAGTAAATATTTTTAAAGTCTTAGACTACWAGAGTAGATGATTCCCAGGTCCTTCCTCCTCAGCTCTAAAGTTATTTATGATTAATTTTGACAGGTTATTAAAAACAGGCATAAATAACTTAGCCATATAACCACAATCTAAGAGAGGTTGTATTAAATTAAACCAGTATCAGTAAGAAACTCCTAAAGATAAGATGTTTGACAGCATTCTTAAGTTCTCCCTAATCAGGCACACTTTAATATTAAAAAGGAAAGGATGAGCAAGTTCTTCTGGGTACCATAAAAGAGTTTATATGGGTACCTAAAGATTATGATTTTTTTACTTTGCTAAAAGGGCAAATAGAGAATAATTTCCAAGCCACAAATCTACATCATACTTATTCCCAGAGAAGCAATCAGACCCTGATTCTATTCTGAAAATAATCTCAGAGTTATACAAAACATATTAAATGGAGGCTAGAGATGTAGCTCAGTGGTAGAGTGCTTGCCTAGCATATTCAAGGCCCGAGGTTCAATCCCTGGTACCACCACACACACACACACAAACACACACACACACAAAAAAAAAGCCACTAAAGGAGGAAAAAAAAAATCTCTACAACACATTAGTTCCATTAATTCCAAGATATTTTAAGCTATTATACAAAATTTTTAAATTCACCCATTTTATGCTCTTTAATGAAACATCTGAAAATGTTTATACTTCAATGTCAACTGAGATCAAGACAATCCATAGATATTTCTGAATTTCAAATCAGTACAATTTTGTCATAACAGGCAAACAATAGGCTGTCCATCCATACCTGGCTGACCCCCCCAGGAGCATACATCATAGTAGCAAGGGCCAGGAGAGTATGTCCTTCCAATAGCATACTGCTTACACCTGCCCGATTGGTGGGAATCAAAATTTGAGCATTTGCAAGGCTAGCCTGGAAGATCAGTTTGGGATCTGAAAAATAAAAGGGTTTCTTGTTATATCCTTAGCACTATCATAAAGTTAGGTACTCAACAAATATTTTTCAGATGAATGAAATACAATATAGACTGGGTATGAAAAAAAAGTGCAAAGAAAACAACTGGAATAAAATACATTAAAATACTATCAGTACTTACCTATGTGTGATTACCTTTTTACATACTTAGGCCACCTACCCATGGAGGAGGTGTTAATTGTCTGTATCTCACAATTTATTCATTTTTTTATTTTGGTACTGGGGATTAAACCCTGGGGTGCTTAACTACTGAGCCCTTTTTATTTTTTGAGACGGGATCTTGCTAAATTGCTGAGGCTGACTTTGAACTTGTGATCCTCCTGCCTCCCGAACTGCCTGGATTATAGGTGTGCACCACCATGTCTTTTTGTTGTTGTTGTTGTTATATATGACAGCAGAATGCATTACAATTCATAATACACATATAGAGCACAATTTTTCATATCTCTGGTTGTACACTTTTTTTTTTAAAACAATGAACACATTTATTACTTTATAATAAAGCTGCACCCAAACCCAAAACCAAAAATCTACAATAGACCAGTTATTTATCTAAAGAAAATTTTTGTAATACAGTGTACACACACCTGTTAAATTACTGGAAACTTGTCGACACTGAACTAAAAATTCAAACCAAGGGTGAGCTTCATATAATTCTTTCTTTTCCAAATAAGAACAATTTTCAGGACTAAGTCTGCATTAAGGGGGGAAAAAACAAATCTGGTTAGCATGCAGCATAAGACAGTTATAACCATGTTTGCTCAAGAGATAACCAATATTAGAAAAAAGAATCCTGGAATTACAAAGTTAGTATACTACAAAATAAATACTTCCACTCTTGCCTTGTATTTTATATACTTTTTATGATCTAAAAGTAGAGAATATTTTAGAGACAATATTCACTACCTTGATCAAATTTTACCAACTCTGCAAAAAACCTGAGATCTTACACTTTAAAATACTTAATATTTTATTGGTTTTTACTAAGAAAACTTTTAAAAACTTTTCATCCTGTTTTCCCCTTGCCACCCCACTCCGCACTCCCCCCCTGGGGATGAAGCAGGGACACTTTACCTCTAAACCACATCCGCAGTCCATTTTATTTACTTATTTTAAAATTTTGAGACAGGGTCTCAACAAAGTCTATAAGGCTGGCCTCTGAGACTTTGCATCCTGGGCACAGAGGTGCATACCTATAATTTTCCTGCCTCAACCTCCCAAGGTGCTGGGATTATAGGCATGCATAACTGTGCCCAGCCTTTTTGTCATTTTTAAAACAAAAAGTTTTCAAAAACCTTTACATAAATACAGAGATGCTAAAACTGAGGAGTTAAGGTTCAGAATATGTATTTTGAAAATATGGCTCTTAGCAAAGCATAGGGGCGCATGCCTGTAATCCCAGTGATTCAGAGGTTGATGCCAGCCCCAGCAACTTAGTGAGACCCTGTCTCAAAATAAAAAATAAAAAGCACTGGGGATGTGGTGGAGCACCCCTGGGATCAATTCCCAGGCCACAAAAAAAAAAAAAAAAAAAGAAAATATGACTCTCAAATTTGTTCTTTTTTCATAGCAGTTTTGGAGAATCACTTCTGTGTGTGAGTAAGCCTCCATGATACAAACCTGGACTACATTCTCTGTTCAAACTTCTAGTGTTTACTACATAAAGTTTAAGAAAAACAACAAACCAACAAGTCTCTATTAGAGTAGAAGTGTGGACTCTAGAATCAAAGTAAACAGAATTAAATCTGGGTCTGCCCTTACTAGTTATGTGTCTTAGGTAAAAAATACTTAAGTTTCAAAGCCTCCGTATTTCCTTACTTGTAAAATGGAGATGGGGGTAACCACTACAGAGTTTTTGTGAAGATGAAATGAGTTAATGCATGTAAAGCACTTAGCCTAATGCCAAGAACATTGTAAGCACTTGTACTACAAACTACTTTCACTGCTGTTATTCTTACTGACCCAATAACACTGGCCACCGATACAATTTTGCAGGTTGATCTTAGGTAAATATATACTGATATGCAACAATTTATATAAGTTTTAGAGTTTATGTAATATGCCTTGCAGAGRCTATGAAATCAAAGTTGCTTAGCATTCTCCTGGCAATGAAAGTATCAAAGAATTACAGTGAAACTTTAGAATCTTCCTTTCTTTTTTTATGTATCTAGTTGAATGTGGCACTAAACTAAACTATATACCAAGTGTTGGGATGGGAGAAACTACTTCAAACAGATTAATATCTCTCATGTAAATGCTTACTGTTTTCCTAAAAGTCCAGAAGTAGTATGAGAAGAGGAAATATGAAAAGGCAATTCTCAATACTTACTTGTAATAGTCGAGAAAGACATAAAGAAGATACTGTAGACCATGTTCCAAGCAGTAGAGAATGAAATGAGAATGAAAATCCCAACCTTCTTTGGTCCTATAGTTTTGGACAGGGGGAGTGTCTTGCATCACACCCCCAATACGGTTGAGTCTTAGAAGGAAGAGTTCAAAATCTTCTAGTTCAGACCCAAGAAAAATTCCATTCCTGCCGGTTTAAGGTGTAAGAAAATAAAAAGTTGATATATTCAGAGCAGACCAAATCACCTCCACTGTTTAAGTATCAACTACTTAAAACAATAAGCATTTATAGGGGCTAGGGTTGTGTCTCATTAGAGACAGCTTGCCTCGCATGTWTGAGCTACTGGGTTTGATACTCAGCACCACATATAAATAAATGAATAAAGATAAAGGTCCATCAACAACTAAAAAAAAATAATATATATATAATTAAAAAAACAATAAGCATTTACAATATAAGGGTAACAGTTCTTACTCCATAAATATATTCTAAGGCACACATTTTGCCAGTTTCCTATGTAGGTTTCTGTAATATTACAGCATTTAAAGGTATACTAATTAATTCTCAAGTTATCTTTGATATTTTGAAAACCTAACTAAACTATCTCTCCRTTTTTTAAATATTTGGTTGGAACTATACAAACCAATGTGACAACAGTGGCAAGCTCTTGAAGTGGATGCTCTGTGCACTAAGAAAAATATCTCACTAAGAGGCTAAAATAATAAATAGACTACTAAATCAGAGAAACTTGCATTTCTGTATTACTTTTAACAAATTTACTGTTAAACACATTACATCTACCAAAGTAGTACAGAAAAATAGACATGGAGTTTAAAGCAGCACCATATAACCACCACCCATATTATACAACATTGTATCTTGAGATGTTTAGTATATTCCTCCCCAATGCATGCACTTTGCTATCTCCAAAGCTTAAAAAAACAAAAACAAAAACAAAAACAAAACACACAAGTACTGAGGAAAGAACCCAGTGATACTTTACCACGAAGCTACATCCCCAGCCCCTTTTACTCTTTGAGACAGGGTCACGCCAAACTGCTGAGGACCTGCCTCAGCCTCCCTAACTGCTGGGATTACAGGTGGGCCACTATGCCTGGCCCTCACCATTTTTTCTTATTGCTCTTCCTTTTATTTTTCCCAAGGGGGATTAATTCAACAGTTATAATACCTGGCCAATTTATCTAAAACTTCATTCCTCATGTAGTTGTTGCAGCAAGTATTCTGATCAATAACATCAACAGTCAGAGGGGGCCATTTGCTCTGCTGAAGTGAAAGGTAACCTTCCTGGGTCTGAAACTCTCCAATCCACAAGACAATGTTTAACCAATCATGGTGAGCTGTGAGGTATCTCCACAGGGCTTCCGGGGAATACAGTTTATATTCTACACAAAGAACAAAACACATTTTAAAGTGCAATGAATTATGATGGTTAACATGTCACTCAATACTGAATTAAATATTCAGTAAATATAATCTGAACATGAATATTCATATAATATATGAATTATTCAGGTTATTTGCTTCTTTTACAGTTTTCCTCTTGTATTGTTCATTTTACAATCAATAACATCTAGAAGAGTTAAATATTTCTCATCACTAGTGGTTAAAATGAAATAGGTATGTTAAACTACCCATTTCACTTATCTATTCAACCCTCTTTTTTCTGTAGTACTGAGAATGGAAACCACAGGCGCTCTATCATTGAACTACACACCCAAAGCCTCTTTTTAATTTTATTTTGAGATCCTGACTCACTAAGTTGCTGAGGCTGGCTCAACTTTACAATCCTCCTGCCTCAGCCTCCAAAGTCTCTGGGATGTACAGATGTGTGCAACAATTCCTGGCCTCTTTCCTTTATTATAAAAAGCTTTGCTGGATGCAGTGGTGCCTGTAATCCCAGCGACTCAGGAGAACGAGGAGGATCACAAGTTCTAAGCCAGCCTCTACAACTTAGCAAGGCCCTAAGCAACTTAGCGAGACCCTGTTTCAAAATAAATAAGAAGGGCTGGAGATAYGGTTCAGTGGTAGTTCAATCCCTGATACCAAAAACAAACAAACATTGGCTATAATAGTAAAAATAAATTTGATTCTCTGATATACCACTTTTCATCACTGTTATCCTCTAGAGCCCTGAGGTGACATGSATCCTTAACTTACACAAGAAACTCAAAAACTATTTGGAAAAACAAAGAATGTCACTCTGAAGCTGGAATAAAAACTTGGTCTTGACTCTCAATTCATTAAATCATATGACTTTATTTTCACTATCACATTGTAAATCCATCACAAAAATGTTGGGATAAGAGGTCTTAACCCATTTTGTCCCATTGTTCCAGATGTGGAACATCTATGAAAACTTAAGTACAGTATATAATTGGAATGTAATTCTAACAATTATAATAAATCATAAGCTCTGGATTGATTTCCAACCTATTTTAATGCACCCATGTCAATTCTGTTGAAATATTCACAGAATGCAAAACTTGAGACTCAATGGATTAATACAATGTCTTGCATTTTAGAGAAACTTAATATCTACCCCCTCTCAAAAGAATTCTAAAATAGACACACACAMAAAAAAAATTAAAATGCCAGTACCTAATTTAACCCTTGTTTAATTTGCATATATTTAGCACTCTCTCATACTTGCCTTCTGGACTTATCCTGGGGAGAAGGATATATTCTTGCATTGGTTGATCCCACCACTGAGCCCAATTTAATGCAATTGTATGGTCCAGTTTGTTAAATTCATCTTTACAATCATATTGGAGGAATGAGTCCAAAATAGATTTGTGCTTGAAAAAATCTTGTTCCTTTATCCAATACCTAAAAACAGTATCATATATATATTTTTTTAACTTTGGAAGAAAAAGCATCCTTTTTATCTACAAGAACACCTATTCTTTGGGGGGGGTATACAATTCTGATTATGCAAATATTAAAATGATGGGAAATCCCTTCTATATGATACAAATTTTTGTTTCTGAGAAGGTTGACTCAGTTCCATGTTAAGAAACGTGCTCATAATTATTACAAACTAAATATTATCTATAATATTCTTCCAATGTTATCAAAAGGAGACTGATGAGACTACCTGGGAAAGGAATGTATCTGCATATTTCCTTGGAGACGTCCCGAATAAAATTTTTCAACTTGATGCACACAATCTATAGTTCTTTTTTCTTTTTCAGAAAAATAATTTTTTTCTTTCAAAATTTCAACCTTGAATAAAAGATAATTAAAACAGTGACCTCACAAAACTCAAGCACATATGCAAAACAAAAATCATGAGATTAAATGCCATCTAAAAATTGTATTTTTAATTCTTGAATTTACATTCACAAAAATTTTCCTTGACCATAAGTGTAATAATTTAAAAAGAAAGAAYTGTCATATATTTATTTATTAGATATTAGTTGAATATTAAAATTATTTTTTAAAGTTTTTCTTCCATATTTTTTCTAAAAAAAATGTAAACTACACAGTCTCGTCTTYAAATGGGACAGAAAAATTTAAAGGCAAGGCTACCATACATCTAAGATAGGCTATACAACAGCCTGCCATGATGATTCACTTGTATACAAAGGTCAATGTAACAATTACACTCTAAAGCTGGGGTTTCTTAAAAAAAAAAAAAAAAAAGGTAAACTACAGAGTTTCATCTTTACCTACCAAATAATCCCGTATATTTCTATTTGTTGTATAGAAGCATATCTTGAGCAAGTGGTCCTTTACATCAAAACCCTATAATAGACATAGAAAATAAAAAAAACCTTACATTTAGTAATGAAATTATTTGGAACACAAACATGTTAGATATAGAAGTATTCTATTATAGACWTGCATTCTATTAGAATACCACATCTTTTCTTCTCTTGCAAATATTTATTTTCCGAATACATATTTACTGCATATTCCTAAAGTCCTTAAACACTTTGTCAGAGCAAAGATAACATGTAGAACAATTTAAGTAAGGCCAGGCTACCATACATCTAAGACAAACTACAACAACCTGATATGATTCATTTAAAAGATCAATGTAAACAATTACCCCTTACATAGTTTCACTCCTCTGCACTTCCAGGAAGTTACCATGGACAAGACCCCACCAATGCAGATTAGGGCCAGATCTCAGTTTAGTTTGGGAACACTACTTCTAGGATTTCCCTTCTCAGATGAAGTAAACTCATGAAACATGAAGCCCTAAGCAAAGGCATATTCCACTAGAAAGCACAAAAAAAGATGTAAGGGGTCACATGAACAATACAGAAGATCCTCCAATAAATCATAAGTCCTATGAACAGGGAGATGATGAAAACTCCATTTATTTTTATCATCTATTTATTATTATTTTTTATGCCAGAATTGAACTGAGGGGCCCTTAACCACTACACTATATCCTCAGTCCTTTCTATTTTTATTTATTTATTTTTGTGGTGCTGGGGATTGAATCCAGGGACTTATGCATGTAAGGCAAGCACTCTACCAACTGAGCTATATCCCCAGCCCAACCCARGAAGTTACCATGGACAAGGACCCACTAAGTTAGTTACAGCCTCACTAAATCACTGAGGCCAGCTTTGAACTTGCTATCCTCCTGCCTCATTCTCCAGAGTGGCTGGGAATACTGGCATGTGCCACCGTGCCCAGCAGGAACTCCATTTAAAAATAATCTTCAGGGGCTGGGGATGTGACTCAAGCGGTAGCGCGCCCGTCTGGCATGCGTGCGGCCTGGGTTCGATCCTCAGCACCACATACCAACAAAGATGTTGTGTCTGCAGAAAACTAAGAAATAAAATATTTAAATTCTCTCTCTCTCTCTCTCTCTAAAAAAAAAAAAAAAAAAAAAGTAATCTTCAAACTGGGCACAGTGGTGCACACCTGTAATCCCAGCAACTCAGGAGGCTAAGGCAGGAGGATTACAAATTCAAAGCCAGCCTCAGCAATTTAGAGAGACCTTGTTTCCAAATAAAATTTAAAAAAGGGGATAAAGCTCAGTGGGTTCACCCCTGGGTTCAATTCCCAGTACCAAAATACATACATACATACATACACACACACACACACACACACCTTCAAGAAGCCAGACACAGTGGTACATGTCTATAATCCCAGTGGTTTGGGAGGCTAAGGCAAGAGGATCACAAGTTCAAAACCAGCCTCAGCAACTAAGCAAGGCCCTAAGCAACCTAGTAAGAACCTGTCTCTAAATGAAATATTTTAAAAGGGCTAAGACAATCCCAAAGAACCAAAGGTGTTTACTCTGATATCCAGACACTAATTCACAATGGCAGGGAGGAGAAGAGAGGGACTTTAGATTAGACAGAGGGGAGTGAAAGGAGGGGAGAGGGAATGGGGATAGAAATGATAGTAGAATGAATCAGACATTATTGCCCTATTGCATATATAATTACACAACCTGTATAACTCTACATCATGYACAACCAGAAGAATGAGAAGTTATACTCCATTTTTGTATGATGTGTCAAAATGCATTCTACTGTCATATATAACTAATTAGAACAAATTTTTAAAAATAAATAAATAAAAAGGGCTGGGGATGTTGCTCAGTTGTTAAGCACCCTGCATTCAATTCCCAGTATCAGAGAGAGAGAGAGAGAGAGGGGGGGGGGGAATGTGTGTGTGCGTAAAAGCAAGAGATTGAGAGTGTGTGTGTGTGTGTGTGTGTGTGTGTGAGAGAGAGAGAGAGAGAGAGAATGATATCAACTTATTGTCCATCAATAGCTGTATGGATAAAGAAAATGTGGAGTGTATATATCTAATGGTACATTATTCAGACTAAGAAAGAAGGGAACCATGCCATTTACAAGCCAGACACAGAAAGACAAATGTTACATGATTCCATCTACATGTGCAATCTTAAAAAGAAAATTTAACTTGTAGTAACAGAATAGACTGGAAGTCACCAGTGGGCAGCAAGTACGAGAAAGGAAGAGATTGGCTAAAGGGTACAAATTTTCAGTTATAAGACAGATAAGTCCTGGACTTATATACAACATAAGCTAAAAATATATGTTATACATGATATTTGTTAGGAGGATAATAATATCTTGTAGACTTGAAATTTGCTAAGAGTTTTCAAGTGTTCTCACCACAGACACACAACTATATAAGGTAACATTAATTAGTTTGTGGTAATCTTTTTCACAATGTATACACACAAAGCATCACATTTTACACATTAAATATGTATAATTTTTTTTCATTAATCATACCTCAATAAAGATGGGGGGGGAAATCTCTTCAGAAAAGTTCTCAGTACCAAAAAACATTTCTCAGTATAATTAATGTCACTTTTTTTCTAATAAGGACTATATAAATTTCTTCACTTGTAATGCAACAATGAAAAAACTCAGTTTTTACAGTAACCAGAAATCATATTAAGTGACTGGAGATCTTCTCTTACATCAGGGACTTTAAGATCTGACAAATGTGATTATACCACTCACCATGTTCTTCAGAAGTTCAGAGGCTTCCTTTATATTGTTCTTCTTTAAATTGTCAAAGACCAAACCTAGGCCTATCCTAATCAGTTCCTCAAGTTTTTGAGCAGAATGACTGTTACTCCTAAAGAAGGTTTGTGCCTCTGGTATTTTGTTGTTTAAAATGGCATTGGCAATAACTTCCTAGGAGAAGGAAGAAAAAAACATTTACCTTTAGGTTCTTTGTAATTTTCTTATTATGATTATCAACATAGGATTTATACATTCACTAAATACCTACTAAGGGACCTTTATTGAAAATCTACTACTACTATCTGCAGCTAGGCATAGGGAATATGAAGCTGACTAAAATAGACCCTGCTCTCCAAGAGCTCTGTGTCTAGTGATAGTCAGTGTCAGTAACACAAGTAGAGTACTGTCTGTGATAAAAAGTATCCCAGGATGTTACAGACCAGGGTTCAGAACAGGTGTTACCAAATAAAAAACACAAAAGGCACAGGGCTTCTTAGTAGAAGTAACTAATGAGTAAAAAAATCAAAGATCAATAATTAAGAAAAGATGACAGGTGCTCCAAAAAGTGAGACTATCAAGTATAGAGGCAAAAGAAAAAACTGCATCAAGTCTTCAGGGACTTGACAATACTTCAAATCCCAGCAGCACCAAGAAGAAAAAAAAAAAAAGTTTGAGAAACTGGCAGCATCTTAACCTTATCGTTTCATTCCCCATTGATTTTTTTTTTTTTTTTTTTTTGGTAGTGCTAGGGATTAAACCTTGCATGTGCTAGGCAAGCTCTCTACCACTCAGCTACATCCCCTGGCTCTTTTTATTTTTTATTTTGAAATAAGGTGTCCCTAAATTACTCAGGCTGGCCTCGAACTTGGGATCCTCTTGCATCAGTTTCCCAACCAGCTGGGATTATAGGCAGATGCCACTATGCCTGGCCCTACTCATCTAAGTCATTCTGGCTTTTGTCTTTCGAATACCAGTACTCTTCATGTGAATAGAGGAATCCTTCCAGTCTCTAAGTAATACAGAGGGCAGCACGTTTTGGCTATATTCACATCTACTGTGTAAAGAAAGGCGAAAGGATGGAATCAAGAAATGTAACACACAAGTAAATTAGAATTACAGACATGACTCAAATTGAGTATATTCCAAATAATGATGCTATAAAGTAAAATTTTCCTAGATCCAATTATCAGTATATCTAATAACTCAATTTATTCAGAGGTCAGGCAGAACGCATGAGTCTGAAGTGCCAGGCCCAAGACAGTGAAAAGTATTACTTGGGGAAGGGCTGCTTCAAATGGCCTGGGGTCAGGTGCTAGATACAAGTGGGCAAGATTGGCATTAAGAGGGAGCCTGTGTTCTGAATTAAATAAACAAATCTCTTGTAGACATAAATTTGAAGTCATATCCAGAGATCCCAAAACCTATGAAACCTAAAACCCTTTCCGAAGATTCTGAATCACAGGTGTATAGATTCTGAATTCTATTTATTTTATTGTTTTCAGGTCCTCTGAATCTAGCACATAAAATACAATAATTATTCATATTTACCTCAGAGCTGAGTTTCTCCCATATATCACTCTCTTTCACTGTGCTGACACTTTCACTGACATTATATTCATCTATAGTATCTGTTGGCTTCCAAGGAAACTTTATCATGAAAGTTCTAAGTTCATTAATGTAGCTGGTCAAAATATCCACTGCTTTCTGTAGATGTTCATCTATCTCTGTGGAAAATACCAAAGTGCCAATTCACATACATGAACATATTATGGCAGTGGAAGGAAGAGGACATGACTAGTTAGAAAGAGTTCTAGAGAATGCCAAAATTRAAAATTGCTATCTTCAAATTTTCAAAATATATTTGAGGACTGTTTTCTATTTACAAGCATCTGTGTTTTAATATAGTCCTTTTTACATTCTTCACAATGATTAGTCCTAGGTCTTTTTGCCAACTTTCTCAGTATCAAAACTCATTTCACTTAATTACATGTCAACTTTATTCAGCTTTAGCAAATGGCACTTCACTGTCCTGACACACAGGAATGCGTCCCCTTTCTTTGCTGCTATTCTTACCTTCAGTGTGAATACAAAGTTCCTTCATCTGTTTGTTAAGGAAAGACAATGTAAGACTAAGCAATTGCTCTGAAAAGTGTTTGCTTTGGGTTTCAGAATCACTTTCTCTAATTGCTGAGCAAAGTAAGTCCAATGCTGGTATCAGCTCTTCCACATCTGAGAAAGAAGCAAAGAAATTAGTATGAAGGACACTAGACTACTCCCAATAAAATTAACAAATCCAAAAATTCCATGTTGCAATATTTAAAATACATACAAGGACCAATGTGCTATTTTCACAAAACTTTTATGAAGGCTTCTTACCTGCAACTTTAATGATTTTCATTACTACTAATAATTATTTACTGGTATTACCATTAACTATCATTTTGCTGATTTACTACATCTTAAGTACTAAACTTAATATTTGTAAATTCTTTCTTATTCCAATAGCTTAAGAGGTAGATGTTCCTTTTTCCATAGATGAGGAAACAAGTACAGAGAGGATAAGTAATTTGTCTAAGCTAAAAATGGCACAGGCAAAATTTGAACCTATGCCTGTGTGATTCCAAAGCTACTCTCTTCAACACACAGAAATGTAAGCCCTTGAAGTCTCTACTTGTTGCTGAAGGCCCTAATGAAGTGATTCCTGTTATGACTGCTTATGTGAGAATGATAGGAACATGGGCAGTCCTCCCAGGAAGTAGGTAAAACATTTCTATGCTTTTCTTCTTCTTCTTCTTCTTCTTCTTCTTATTATTATTATTATTATTATTATATTATTATTATTATTATTGGTACTGGGAATTGAACCCAGGGTCTCACACATATTGGGCAAGCACTCTACTACTGAGCTACATCCCAGCCCTTGCCATGCTTATTATTCCACGTTCACTGTTGCCCTTTAGAGCAGAGCACTTTAAGTGAGAGTAGAGGAGAAATCATTGACCACCAAACAGGGGAAGTGAACAATGACTACATACTTTCATCACTCAATATACAAACCAGGATTTTTTCTATAAATTCAAGTGGATTAAAAAGGGGGGGCATCTTAAAAAGTCAGCAAGTTGGGAGATAGAAGACCAAACTCTGCAATCAAAATGAAAGAGGACTGGGAATATAAGTTCAGTAGTATAGTGCTTGCCCAGCATATCCAAGGCCTCCAGGTTTGACCCCTAGCACCAACCAACCAACCAAGCCCCTCTCAGCACCAAAAAAAAAAAAAAAAAAAGAAAAGAAAATTTCTAATTCATATTCTCAGTGAGAACTAACACTGAGAAGATTGTCATTTTCTCTATATGCAACTAGGGTAGAAATTGGTAGAAGTTCTTTGGAGGAAAATTTATCAAGGCAATTAAGAATGTGCATTATGTACACTCACTAACCTGAAAATGTCATGTCTAGAATTTATTCCAAGTATATTTATTCCAATTATACATACATAAAATTATACATAGCATTTATGGTATATTGCCAATATTTAAAAACTGGAATCAATCTAAATGTCTAATAGTTGGATGAGTAAATTATGACATAGTTCATATAATGAAATTCATGCCATCATAATATCTATCTATGTACAGAAATATGTTTAAAATATATTATTCAAGTAGGGAAAAAAAGGAGATGATAATATCACATGTATAGGGGTGAGGTAATCAGGGACCACCACAGGGACATTAAAAGTATGGTATGTATTCTTTCCCACCCTCCTCAATCTTCCAATCCACCTTCTCAATCACAAAAACCAGATGCATCATAAAAGCTAGAATGCCTTCAGGGGCTGGGGTTGTGGCTCAGCGGTAGAATGCTCAACTAGTGCATGCGGGACCCTGGGTTTGGACCTCAGCACCACATATAACTAGGTTAATAGAGGTGTTGTGTCTATCTACAACTAAAAAATTAAAAAAAAAAAAAGCCTAGGATGCCTTCAACATAATGTCTCCAAGAATAAACCAGATGAGAGAATGAGACTGTTGGAAATCACCACAAAATTTGTACAGGATGGTGATAATGATTAAAAAATACAGGATTTCAGCACCCCTCTCCCAATAAATATTAAAACGTACATCTCCCTTTGTTCGGGGAACAGCCTGATCCACTTCTCCATCAGTGTTTTCTCTCTGCAGGTGAAGTCCCAATTAAAACTTTGCCTGTATGTTAATGCTTTCTTGATTCAATTTAATTTCAACTGTCATATCAAGTCAGAGCTTCCACCTCAGGTTTTACCCGTCCCTCTAAACAGAGTATTGACATGATTATCTATTCCAAGAATAAAAGTTAGGCTTCCTATTTTTTAAGGAAGAATAGCCAAAATCTTAAGAATTGATAAAGTAGCAAAAAACGAGTCAGTGTGACAATTCTTAYAACAAAATCTAATCCGCAACTCCACAACTCAGAAAGCAATCAGTATTGTCCATATACATCTCAGACAGTTGCAAGTATCAGCAATGAATTTTATTCTTTCTTGTATAAAGTTTTCATGAATTTGAAAGATCATCTTCTCCTTGCATATTAAAAATATCAAACACAGCACAGAATATGAATAATATCTCACTTAGAATGACAACATCTATAGATTCTGAAAACTCTCTCAAGTTTCCACAATGTATATAAATCCCATACGTTAGTTCTGGTAAGTAGAGAAGTCAACAAGTCATCAGAATACACGATAATTTCAAAGTAATTAAAAATGATCAGTACAAATGGAGAAGTCTTTATTTTACTTACTTCTTAAATATAAATGAGATGGCAAGTGATCAAACTGATCAGGTACAGAAGATTTTGAAGACAGGGTAAAAAGATTTTCCTTGCTCTTCAAGAAGAAATCTACTGTGTCCAGCTGACGATTTTCTATTCCAGCCTAAAATGGGGGGAAGGAGGAATCAGGAAAAAAAAAAAAAAAAATCAGGATTCAGATTTTTTTTTTTTTTTTAAACTTTAGAACTTAATGTGCAAAGACTGATGGAGATGTTACTGGGTGGCTCTAATAACCACCCGGGAGGAAAGGGATTAGGCCATGACACTCAATGCTCCAGAAATATTCAGAGCCAAACTGGTAGGAGAATAGGTTTTATCAGCTTTGAAGGTAGATAAAGCTTTTGAAATAAGATAAAGACGCTCACCCTTACTTCTGGATATTATACTGAAGGTCCTAACAGCAAAACAGGACAAAAAGAATAAAAACATAAGTATTTTTTAAAATATTCTTTTAGTTGCAGAGGAACACAATATCTTTATTTATTTTTATGTGGTACTGAGGATCAAACCCAGTGCCTCACGCGTTCAAGACAAGCACTCTACCACTGAGCTATAGCCCTAGCCCCCCAAAAGTTTAAGTATTCAAAGAGAAGAAACAAAGTTATATTATTCTGATGTTAAATGCAGATTAACTATATAAAGACTTCCATAGAATAGATCCATTATTAGGATGAGTTAACAGATCAGCTAAATACAAAAATCAAGATATAAAAAGTTAACTGAATTTTTTAATATTTATTTTTTAGTTATAGATGGACACATATTTTTATTTTATTTTTATGTGGTGCTGAGGGTGGAACTCAGTGCCTCACGCATGCTAGGCGAGCACTCTACCTCTAAGCCACAATCCCAGCCCCAACTGTATTTCTTTACACTGGAAAGGAATGATGTAATTTATAACGTACCACTTATAACAAATAATAGGTAAAACAAGATGGCAGTAAAGTAAGACCTTCTAGAAATGATTGTCTCTTCACAGAAATATCAATTTGAACAGCTATTAACACATGAAATTACCTTCACCAAGAAATAAAGAAAAGGTGAAAGATCACAGTATCTGGTTTTGACATACACATACACACACAAAACAAACGATTAAGGAAGGCAGCAAAGAGTTGCCTACGTCACCTCTTGTCCAACTCAAAGCAAATGATGTGGAGAGAGATGTCTTCTACTTGGGGGAAAGAGAGGGAATTAGGTCCTAATAGTTAGAACTGAGTACTAGGACTACCACAATGAAACCCAGTGCTACCAACAGCCTATTTCTACCGCCCCTCCCCAAACCTAAGGCAGCACACTGTGGGGAAAGATTCCATTTACTAGAGGTAGATATGCCCAGTGTCTGCTAAAAGTCTATGATTGGTGTGTTGTCACTATTTCAGCACTAAAGGGCAGAAAAATAYTCTGCTGGGCCAGTAAAACCCAACCCTGAGCAGATTCTAATGGCTCCTGTTCTTGTGCTACTGCCACTGGACAAGGCCTCTGGACCTGCCCTATGCCAGATGAAAACCTGAGGCCCTGGTGGACACACTTGTATTTCAGTCAGCATCATGTCTAGCTAGCAATACATGAGTAYAATGAGTACACAGCAGCAGACAGGTGACAGGAGCATGAACCTTGATCCTGCCCATGCTGTGCTAATTTCAGCAGGCTGCAGGTTCCAGGTGCAACCCAGCATTGAAGCATTAGTAGTCACAAGACTGCCCACTCTACCCTAATCCAAACCCCAAGTAACATAGCTCAAAGAGTCAATATCCACTTGGGAAGAGTGAGGAAAGTGTGAAGTCACTGCTGAGAACCCCAGGGCCACTCCTTCCACGGTAAGACCCTGTGACAGGCAGAAGCCTGAAGTGACTATACACGGTGACTATAGACAAGGTGTTTGGGCCGAATCTGGTCCCAAACAGAGACTTCCAAAGACTGACTACATTTTTTAGACAATTTGGGATTGGGGTGCCCTCTCATGCTGAAACAGTGACAACATATTAATCATGGGCTTGAAAATCTGAGCTCAGGATACCATTCAGTCTGAAATATCAGCAGTGACGATAGGTTCTGAGAAAATAAGCAGCCAACTTAGAATTTATGCAAGGACAGGTACAAACAAAGCCAGATTATGAAGAATGGAATAAATACCCAATCCTCAAGGTGCACATGTTGTCATAYACCAACAAACATCAAGAACTTCCAGAAAACCTTGACTTCACCTAATAAAGGCAAAATAAGGCACCAGAAACTGACCATAAAGCAACAACATGTATGAATTCTCACACAATTTTTTTTGCTACCAGGGATTGAACCCAGGGGCACTTAACCACTGAGCCACATCCCTGCCCCCTTTTTAAATTTAGAGACAGGGTCTCACTGAGTTGCTGAGGCTGGCTTTGTACTTGTGATCCTTCTGCTTCAGCCTCCTAAATTGCTGGGATTAAAGGTTGTGTGAAACCATACCCGGCGCTTGGACAAAGAATTTAACATAGGTATTTAAAGAAAACTAATGAATCTTCCCCAGTATTGCCTACAGAGACGACAGCCATTTTCTATTTAGTGAATCTTAATCATTGGCCACTCATACATCTACAGTCTACCTGTCCCTACTGCCCTGGATTAGGTTTGCTTTCAGACCTCTTGTGAAGCCCAATATCAAAAAGAAGATGAAGGGACTGGTATTGTGGCTCAGTGGCAGAGCACTTGCCTCCCACATGTGAGGCCCTGGGTTCAATCTTCAGCACCACATATAAACAAACAAAATAAAGGTATTGTTTTCCATCTATGAATAAAAAATATTTTAAAAAAAGAAGATAAAGAAATTCATCCAGCAACAGGCAAATTGATACATCAGAATTAAGATAAGTAGCAGCGACCAGATGTTCGGACAAGGTGTGGAGAAAATTCAAGGGCCAATCTTGATTCTCAACATTAGTTATGGAAGCACTAAGAAAACTGAACATGCTGCCCAGTGGCTTTTAGATGTTCCTGGTCCACAATGTTAAGGATCAGGAAATCCTCCTGATATACCTCTTTTTTTTTTTTTTTTTTTTAATACTGGGGATTGAACCCAGGGAGTACTAAGCCACTTAATGAGACAGGTCTCACTAAGTTGCTTAGGGTCTTGCTAAATTGCTGAAGCTCGCCTTACACTTTCAATCCTCTTGAGTTACTGGGATTAGGGTTGGGGATTGTGCCAACACACTTGGCTCAATAAATCTTATGCAGAGATTGTTCACAATGTTTTCCTAAGAACTGGAAAGCTCAGCTAGCCATCACAATCACCAATTCCAGTGCCAGGCTGTGAAGCAAAGAAAATAGATGGTTTGAGCTCACTTTATTTGTGTTTAAGTAGAACCATAAAAACTGCCAAAAAGGACTGGGGTTGTGGCTCAGAGATGGAGCACTCACCTATGCATAGGGCACTGGGTTCAATCCTCAGCACCACATAAAAATGTAATGTGTCCACCTACAACTAAAAATTAAATATTTAAAAAAATACTGCCCAAAATTGAACCACTAAAGCTCAAAAAATAATGCCAAGTTAATAATGGGATGGTATCAAATTAAAAATAGTCTACACAGCAAAGGAAACAATTAGGAATATGAAGACAGAATCTACATAATAGGAGAAAATCTTTGTTTACTACTCTTCTGATAGAGGACTATTATCTAGAATATATAAAGAACTCAAAAAACTTAACACCAAAAAACCAGATAACCTGATTAATAAATGGGCAAATGAATTAAGAGACACTTCTCAAAAGAAGAAATACAAATGGTCAACAAATATATGGAAAAATATTCCATGTATTAATATAATTAGAGAAGTTACTAATTAGATCAGTAATTAGATTAGTAATTAGAGAAACGCAAATCAAAACCACATTGAGATTTCCTCTCACACCGTCAAATGGCAGTCATCAAGAATACAAACAATAATAAATTCTGGAATGTGGAGAAAAAGCAACATTTTTACATTGTTGGTGGGATTGTAAATTACCATAACCACTATGGAAGTCAGTATGGAGATTCCTCAAAAGACTAGGCATGGGCCCGGTGGAGTGGCCCACGTCTGTAATCCCAGTGGCTTGAGAGGCTAAAGCAGGAGGATTGAGAGTTCAAAGCAGCCTCAGCAAAAGCAAGGCTCTAAGCAACTCAGTGAGGCCCTGTCTAAAACATAAAAAAGAGCTGGGGATGTGGCTCAGTGGTTAAGTGCTCTTGGGTTCAAACCCTGGTACCAAAAAAAAAAAAAAAAAAAGACTAGGCATGGAAACCACTATATAACCCAGCCATACCACTCTTCAGTATTTATCCTAAACAATTAAAGTCATCATACTATAATGATACATGTATACACATGTTTATAGCAACACAATTCACAACAAACTATGGAACCAACCTAGGTGTCCATCAACCAAAGAATGGATAAAGAAAATGTGGTGTATATATAGACAATGGCATTTTATTTAGCCATAAAGAAAAATAAAATTATGTCATTTGATGGAAAATGGATAGAACTTGAGTCCATTATGTTAAGGGAAATAAGACAAACTCAGAAGGCCAAGGGTCATATGTTTTCTCTCATATGTGGAAGCTAGAGAGGAAAAAGAAAAAGAGGACTGGGGCTGTAGCTCACGGGTAGAGCACTTGCCTTGCACGTGTGAGGCACCAGGTTCAATCCTCAGCACCACATAAAAATAAATAAAGATATTGTGTCCATCCACAACTAAAAAAATATTAAAAAGAAAAAGAAGGCAGGGGCGAGGTGGGAGATCTAATGAATATCAAAGGAAGATCAGTGGAGGAAACAGATGGGGGTTGGGGGTGGGAGGAGGAGGGGGAGAGGTGAAGTGTTGGGGAGCTATATTGGCCAAATTATATTGTTATATTGTGTGCATGCATGTATGAATATTTACATCACTATGTACTACTATAAGGCACCAGTAAAAAATGTGGGGAAAAAACTGTCAAAATTTATTTATAAAAAAGGAAACTCAAAAAACTTTAAGGAAACAAGTAATTCAGTAATTTATCAGAGAAAGTTAAAGGACTGAAGTAATTAAAAAAAAAAAAAACAGAAATCCTTGAGCTGACAAATACACTAAATGAAATGAAAAAAATGTAACAGAAGGGATCAAACAGAAGAATCATTGAACTTAAAGAAAAGGTATTTGAAAATACACAGAGAAGAGAAAGAAAAGAGAAACGAAAAAAAGCTCTCTTGAGTCAGCTTTTAAAAGAGCAAATATTGGGGCTGGGGTTGTGGCTCAGCGGTACAGCGCTTGCCTAGCACGTGTCATCCCCTGGGTTCCGATCCTTAGCACCACATAAAACAAATAAATAAAATAAAGGTATTGTGTCCAACTACAACTAAAAAAATAAATATTTAAAAAAATTAAATAAAASAGCAAATATTTAGCATTTAAGAGGAACTTGAGAATATAGCTGATATAAAGGAATAATAATAGAAAACTTCTTAAACCTAGAGAGGAATACAAATATCCAGGTATAGGAAAGTCTAAGGTCACAAGTCAGATTCAACTCAACCAAATCTACTCCAAGATGTATAATCAAAATCTCAAAGATTAAAGACAAAGAGAAGGGGTTGGGGTTGTGGCTCAGTGATAGAACCCTTGCCTAGGGTACATGAGGCACTGGGTTTGATCCCCAACACCACACACACAAAAAAAAAGCTAAATAAACAAAATAAAGGTATTGTGTTCATCTACAACATTTTATATATATATATATATATATATATATATATATATATATATATATATAGAGAGAGAGAGAGAGAGAGAGAGAGAGAGGGGGAGGGAGGGAGAGATATTGAGATTCTCAAGACAGCAAAAGAAATACATAAGGGTATTATGATTTATCTGACAGCAGACCTCTCAGCAAAACCTTTATAGGCCAGAGGGAAGATAATGAGGTATTCACAGCACTGAAGGAAAAGAACTAGCAACCAAGAAAATTGTACCAAACAAAGCTAGCTTTTAGAAATGATGGAGACAGACAATCCCACAAAAGCTGAGAGACTTCATCACCACCAGATGTGTCCTATAAGAATTCTAAAAGGAGTTCTTCAAACTAAAAGAAAGAAATGCTAACAAGTAAGAAGAAAACATCCGAAGGTCTAAAACTCACTGGGAAGGGTGACAATACAAATCCAGAATGCTTTAATTCTGTAAACAGTTTTGTAAACCACTTATATCTTTGGTATTGGAACATACAAAAAAAATAATGACTACATATATATGTTAAGAGACAGGCAATATAAAAAGGTAGAAGATGGGACATCAAAAATTCAAAATGTGGAGAAGACGATTATCACTAAATAGGGAAGACAGGTGGGAGGGAAAAAGAGGAAGAAGGGCAGTTGCACGGAAAATGGAAGGAGAACCTCATTGTTATACAGAATACATATATGATGTTGTGATGAGAAAAAAAAAAAAAAAGTGTGTCACATTAGATTGGATAGAGAGAAAGGATAGGAGAGGAGGGGAGGAGTAGGGGGGATAGGAAGGGCAGCAGAATAGACAATATGATTGATGTATGTACATTCCATGTATGTATTATATGTCAAAATACATTCTGCTGTCATGTATGACTAAAAAAATAAAAATAAATTGTATGGTTAAAAAAAATTCAAAATGTGGACTCTGGACGTGGTTCAAGTGGTAGTGCACTCGCCTGGCATGCGTGGGGCACTGGGTTCGATCCTCAGCACCACATAAAAATAAAGATATTGTGTCCACCTAAAACCTAAAAAATAAACATTAAAAAATTCAAAATGTGGAAGGAATGCAGTTTAAGTGCAGATTTTTTTTAAATTAGTATTTTTCCTCTTCCTATATTTATAATCAATGTTGAGTTACTATCATTTCAAAATAAGTGTGTTATAATCAAAAATTTTTTGTAAGCCTCAAGGTAGCCACAAAGCAAAAACCTATAGTATGCCCAAAATAATAAGGAATAAAAATATACTATACAAAAACACTACAAGATAAAAATCACTTAACAACCAAGAAAGACCATAAGAGATAAAGAAACTAAAAATAAATAAGAAAAAAAAAACACTAGAAGCTGGATTATAGGAATACAACACCATGTTGTATTCCTATAATCCAGCTATAGTAGGAAGGCTAAGGCAGAAGGATCAGAAGTTCAAGAATAATCATGGCAATTTAGTGAGACCCTGTCTCAAAAAAATAAAAATAAAAAGGACTGGGGATGTAGTTCAGAGTGGTAGTGCATCTCTAGGTTCAATCCCCAGTACTGAAAAAGGGGGGAAAAACAAAAATAAATTTTAAAATGCCAGTGGTAAGACTTTACSTATTAATAATTACCTTAAATGTAAATGAATTAAATCCACCAATTAAAAGACAGTGAGTGAATGGATAAAAAAGAAGACCTAACTACATGCTGCTTACAAGAAAATTCAGCCAGTGTGGGGGCACATGCCTATAATCTCTGTAACTCAGAGGCTGAGGCAGAAGTATCATAGGCTCAAGGCCATCCTCAAAATAAAAAAACAAAAATAACTGAGAATGAATGCCACTAGGTTCAATCCCCAATAGTGGGTGGAAATAACTTAACATGCAGGAACGTGTACAGACTAAAAATGAAGGTCTGGAAAAATATTCTATGTAAATGGAATCCAAAAGAAAGGAGAAGCCATACTTTTATCAGATAAAATAGACTTTAAATTAAAGGCATTAAAAAGAAAAAAAAAAGATGATTATAAAATAAAATGATCAATTCCGCAAAAGGAAATAACCTTTGTAAATACATATACATTGAATATTGGACCATTGAAATTCATAAAGCAAAAAACCCAAGTCCTCATGCATGCTAGGCAAGTACTATACAACTGAACTTCATTCCTAGTTCATTTTTCATTTTGAGAAAGGGTCTCATTAAGTTGCCCAGGCTGGCTTCAAACTTGGGAGCCTATGGCCTCAATCTCCAAAGTAACTGGGATTATAAGCATGCACCACTGTCTATAAAGCAAATATAAATAGACTTAAAAGGAGATACAACTACATATTAATGTAGTCATTTTTTTTAGTTTTCATATGAAAAGATATGATTTACACGTCATGTTTACAATATGAGACTATTCTGAATTTGTCTATAAAATTAATCTTACCAGTGAGTTTTATACCTTCTGATGTTTTCTTCTTTCTTATTAGCCATTTTCTTTATAATAAAATAACAGGGGACTTTCATGCTTTTAGCAACAGATCATCCAGACAGAAAAATCCAAACACACACACACACACACACACACACACACACACACAAAATAGAATTAAACTGAACCCCAGGACCAAATGAACCTATCAGATTTCTACAGGACATTCCATTCAACAGCTGCAGGATATACATTCTTCTCAATAGCACATGAAGACATCATATGGTAGGATACAAAACAAATTTTAATCCCCAAAAAACTGTAATTGGATCAAGTATCTTTTCCATCCACAGTGCAATAAAGTAAAAATCAATAATAAAAACACTTCAAAAACTACACAAAACACATGGAAATTAAACAATGTATTCTTGAACAACTGATGGATCAAGGAAGATTAAGAAATTTTAATAAGGCATAGTAGTGCATGCCAGTAATCACAGATACTTCACAGGATGAGGCTGAAGGGTTGTGAGTTCAAGGCCAGCCTGGACAACACAATGAGACTTGTCTCAAAAAAAGGGTGGAGGGGGCGGGGGCACAGAAAAATCTCAAACTATCCTTTTGCCTCAAGGAATCAGAAAAATAAAAACAAACCAAACCCCAAATAAGCAGAAGAAATAATAAACACCATAAGTAAATGAAGCTGGGCAGATGCCTGTAATCCCTGCAGCTCATGAGCCAGGAGGATCACAAATTCAAAGCCAGCCTCAGCAACTTACCGAAGCAGTAAGCAACTCAGTGAGACCCTGTCTGTAAATAAAATATAAAAAAGGACTAGGGATATGGCTCAGTAGTTAAGTGCCCCTGAGTTCAATCCTCATTGCAAAAAAAAAAAAAAAAAAGTAGTAAATGAAATAGAAACAATATAAAAGATAACAAAAATGAAAAGGTGGATTTTCAAAACAGTAAACAAAATTGATAAACTATTGACTAAAGCATGTTTCTATCCATAAAACAGAATAAAAACTACCTAATCCATCCATCTCATCTAATTGTTATAGAATAAAATTAAATAATGTTTATAAGAGTAGGTAAACTGTAAAATGTTGTATAAATTCAGGATGTAGCCCCTAAAGCTGGATAGGAAGGGTAGAAAGTATAAGGTAGGAATAAAGATCATTCCTGTTCAAGCTTGACCATAGCTTGCTTCTACTTCATTTAATCTTTCTTCGTTTTCGCTACTGGAGATTGAATCCAGGGGTGCTTTACCACTGAGCTACATCCTACTTTGAGACAGGGCCTTGCTGAGTTGCTGAGGCTGGACTCTGACTTGCAATCTTCCTGCTCAACCTCCTGAGTCTCTGAGATAATAGGCATGTACTACCACCATCCAGTTCATGTAGTCTTACTAGCTTACTGTGGCCTCCATTTCCTATAACACTATCTGTCTGAAACAATATGTATTGTAATCTCACTTAAATCCAAAGGGGGTAAAGTGCTAAATAAATTAGGGCAATGAAAAAGACCTGAGCAAATAAATAGGTAAAGACTATAGTTCTATTGGCTTCTAAGTTCAATGAACTCTCGCAGATCCTCAGTCAAATAAGAGTACATGACAGTGCGCAGCATGATGGCACACACCTATAATCCCAGTGATTTGGAAGGCTGAGGCAGGAGGATTGCAAGTGCAAGATCAGCCTCAGCAAATCAGTGAGGCCCTAAGGACTTAGTGATTCCCTGTCTCAAAACAAAAATAAAAATAAAGGAGTGGGAATGTGGCTCAATAATTAAAGTGACCATGGGTTCACTCCTCAGTAACAACAACAACAAAAAAAAGGGTATGTAACAGCAAATAAAGTTCTACAGAAGACATTTAATTCTGTTACCTCCAGTGCATGTATAGGAATTGAGCACCTTCCCCAACCATTGAGATGACAAAGAGAGTCCACAGTGCTGGCACTTCCATGGATCATTAGTCTGTTTAAAAATTCTTCTTGAGTCAACCCAAACAAAATTAGAGAAAGTCCATTTTCTACAGGAAAAATAAAAGTTTTAATAAATTACTAAGACATCTTATGTGAGTCCTACTTATGTTTTAGTAATAACAAATATTATAAATTACTGTAATTACAAATATTTATTAGATGCTATCTATTGCTTCCACTTCATTTCTATTATGATCTTAAAACCTCATGGTTTTTCCAATTTTTTTTAAAAGAGTTTTATTTTTAAAACATTTCCCACAAGGCAAATTCTGATAAGAACCCACAGCCCTGAGACGTAGCCCAGTGGCAAAGGGCTTCCCTCTGAGGTATGCAACCCTAAGTTTAATACCCAGCACCACATACAAAAAAGTACATCCTATGAAATAGCACTAGACTTCGAATTTCTAGTCCCTACTCACTACTATGTTGCACAATCAATATTTGGAAACGGACAGGCATGCTGGCTTGTGCCTGTAGTCCTAGCTCTTGGAAGGCTAAAGCTGAAGGATCACTGGAGACCAAGAGTTCAAGATTAGCCCAGGCAACATAGCAAGACCCCATCTTAAAAGAAAACAAATACAAGGAGAACAATGGATTTAAAATAAAAAATCCTGAARCCAGATATAGCAGCTGGAAAGGCTGAGGCAGGAGGATCACAAGTGCAAAGCCAGCTTCAGCAACTTAGCAAGGCCCTAACAAACATAGAGAGACACTATCTAAAAAATAAAAAAAGGCTGGGGATGTGGTTCAGTGGCCCAGTACCAAAAAAAAAAAAAGTCCCTTCTAAGAAAACTGAAACTTGACTCCAACTCTACAGTTAGTATGCACGAATACAGGTCTACCACTGCTAGATCAGTAATAACTAGAAATCTAGATGCTGTGTAAAATCCTCTAGTATTTCATGTTTATAATAGATATCTTTCTCCTAGTATCTTAGAATTTAGCTAAACAGAAATGATGTTAATTAAAAATAAAATACATAAGACCAATGTTACCAAGAGCAATACCAAATTTCCTCTGTGAATGGTTACCACTACAAGGTGAGAGCAGGCACACATAGACACAAGGGCAACAGAAGTAAAATACATCAAGAAAGCACACCTCTTGACAATGTATTTCAGTCTAAGACCTTCTTACCTGTCAAAAGAAGGCACAGTTGCTGGTCTCCACTATTGTCTATAGGAATACACTTCTGGCCAAGGGAAAAACACTGCATGCCCTGTGTCTCCAAATCCCAGAGGACAATGGTGCAGCCTGTCATTCCCACTACCCATGTAAACAGTGCAGAGAATCTTGTCACAGACATACATGTGAGCTCCACTGGTTCCTCTTGTTCACTGAGGTACATTAACTTCCAAGCTTTTCCTCTATCACTGGTCTTCACATGAGCTTTCTGTGGAAAATTAAACTGGCCATGCATTATTGCCCGTGGAAGGAAAGCACAGCTTGGCACATCAGTACTATGGTTACCAGATTCAGGGGACTCCAAATGTAAAATATCCTGGAACCATGAAGTACAACAGGAAACCTCTGGTTTGGAGCTCTTTATTGTTTCCTTCAATGACGACAGCTGGGCATTCCAAGACCTAGAAGATAGGGTAGCACTTATACCAGTTACAGTGAAAGGCACTAAGACTAAACCAGAACAAAGATGCTCTTTAAAAAAATAATATCTACCAAGTAAAAACCTTTAGTGAAAAGTTAGTCAGMAAGATGAAAAAAATGGAAATGAACAAAAATCATAAAAGGAAGTTTCTGTACCTATCAACCTGGAAGGAAAACTTGGTCAGTTTCATGTTATGGACAGAATTAACAGGATCATCTTCATCTATCCCCTTAGGTCCTTGAATAGGAAGGTCTTCTAGTGTTCTTTCGCATAGTAGGTGTCCTGGGTATTGCCTATATTTWAAAATAATGATAGCCAGAGTAAAAAGTAATGACCAAACCCAAATTTCTGTTATAATTGCTCTTGCAAAAATTGGGAGGGGGGGGTCACAGAATGAACAATAAATTTCCCAGAAGGAAACTCCTTATCTCCCTGCCTTACAAAACAGTGAGTTAACTTCATCAATTTGACTCTTGGAGCATGCTTGTAATCCCWGCATCTTGGGAGGCTGAGGCGGGAGGATCTTGAGTTAAAAGCCAGTYTCAGCAAAAGCGAGGTGCTAAGCAACTCAGTGAGACCCTGTCTCTAAAAAAAATACAATATAGGACTGGGGATGTGACTCAGTGGTCAAGTGCCCCTGAGTTCAATCCCCAGTACTCCCCACAAAAAAAGAATTTGATTTCCAGCTGGGTGTAGTGGTATATGCCTGAAATCCCAGAAGCTCAAGAGGCCTAGGAGGATGGCAAGTTCAAGGCCAGCCTCAGCAACTTAGTGAGGCCCTAAGCAACTTAGCAAGACTCTGTTCTCAAAAAAAAAAAAAAAAAAAAAAAAAGTGGGGGGCTGAGAATGTGGCTCAGAGGTTAAGCAACCTGGCTTCAATTCCCAGTACCAAAAATCAAAAAAAAAAAAAGTGGTAAGAGCATTTCTTGACTACTATATTGTAGATGTTTTACTCAACACTTTATGTAAGCTCTTATGTCTTTTAACAACCTTATAAAAATAAATAGTCTAACTTTATAGATATAAAAATTAAGCTTCTGAGAAACTTTGAACCAGGTTAGTTTAACCATAAAGCCCAGAGTTTTAATTACTTACTATACTGCCAACACAAAGTAAGAGTTAGGCTGAGACCAGGCAAATGCATGCAAATTAGAAGGCAAAGTATTATGTTTAAATATAGGCGGAAGAGTGTGTGTGCAAAGAGGGCTGTCACACTGAAGAAACAAAAAAGAACCTAGTGGTGGCTAAAGAGCAGTAAATGAGAAGGTGGAGCTATTTAAGAATTTTTAACTTTTATATTGGGGTGGAGAGAGGCAGCTAAAGATTTTCAAGCAGAAATGAGAAATGATCAGATGCAGAAGACAGCTAGCAAAAGAAGGGAAAGCATATAATCCTCAAGAGCATTTGGTTAAGTAAATATTAACCCTTTCAATGACTTAAAGGTAATAAATTGGTACAATATTTGTCAAGGAGATGATGAAAAGTCAGAAAAGACAGGATGAAAATGAAAACAAAGAATGTATGAAAAAGTAGTTCCCTAACAAGAAAAGATAGATCTCCTGCCCTCAGACRTTAATACCTGGCTATAACTCTAATAAATTCATTTTAACAATGTCATTTTGTCTACTGTACAAAGGATAGATTTGAAGAGTAAGAGCAGACATGAGACTAAGTGGTTGTTAAGGTAGTTCAGATAAAACAATGTAGTAACATGGATTAGGAGTTAAGAAGTGGACAGATTCAAGAAACATTCAGGAATAAAATAGCTAGAACTGGTGATTAACTTGATGTGGATCCAGTGCTGAAGAGACTGGAGACAGAAAAGAGAAAATGGAAAAGATCCCTAAGAAGAAGGGAAGGGCTGGGCCTTCATAGGAAAAAGGAAACTACTAAGAAACTAAGGAAGTCCCAGGAAATGCGTTTTAATTCCTTTATAAAGGAGACAAGGTCAGGGCTGGGATTGTGGCTCAGCAGTAGAGCACCTGCCTAGCACATGCAGGGTTTGATCCTCAGCACCATATAAAAATAAGTAAATAAAATAAAGATGATGTGTCCAACTTCAACTAAAAATTAAATATTGAAAAAAATAAAGAAGACAAGGTCAGCCAAAAAAAAAAAAGGTTGATGTAAAGAGATAAGTGGGTTTGAAAAAATAGAGGTTTAAAAACAATGTTGTATAAATGAGTTCATGGGAAAAAAATTGTAAAACTTCTAGGCAATACTGTGAAATCAACTGACGATAATGAATGCAAACTTAAGCACCAATTTTCCTTTGTTGATTTCTCACAAGTTCAAATTGCTTGAGTATAGACACTAAAAAGGCAGAATAAAAAGTTTAACTCAGACATTTTTCAGATCAAGTGTTATCATAGGGCAGGAGCAAGAGTTTAGAGAGCAAGCAGGAAATGACTAAAATGAGAAATCACAAAATCTACACTGGAAAGGAAGGGAAGTGAAGACAGAAGGGGGATAAAGACTATAAGGTCAATGAACTAGAAATTCCAGTGAAGTCAGATGACTGGTAAGGTGGGAATACTTGAGAAAGTAAGCCAGAAAATTTGGGAAGTTGTGGTCAGAGTGCAGTTATGTAGAGAAGTGATCTAGGGGAAAAGTAATTTCAAATATTAACAAAACTCAGGATTATGCATATGAGAACAGACAGCTAAGGTGGATTAGAAGAGAAAGACAATGAACTGAAAGAACAAACCCCAGCTACTGAGGAGGCTGAGGCAGGAGGATTGCTTGACCCCCACAAGCTCAAGACCAGCTTGTGCTGAGCTAGGATTGTAACTCAGTGGTAGAGTACTTGCTTAGCACATGTGAGGGACTGGGTTCAACCCTCAGCACCACATAAACAAAGCTATTGTGTCCATCTACGCATATGCATACACATACACATACACACACCCACAAAAAAAAAAAAAAAAAAAAAGACTGGCTTACCCCATCTTAAAAAAAAAAAAGAAAATCTCAAGGAACAAACATGAGTTTGGTTTCTCAAGGAGCTTACATGAACTCTATGGAGGGAAACATAGGATTATATAATTAAATGCTATACTCTAGTTCAAAGTAGAAGTGCTACAAAAGTTCAGAGAGGAAAGAAATTTTAATAAGTAAAAGGAGGGAGTTTTAATAAGTAAAAGGCTTCAAGAAAGGTGGATTTTAATTGGCTCTCAAAAGATGAACAGGGCTTGATCAAATGAGAAAGAGGCCTAATGTTCTTTATCAAGGAAAGAGGAGTTTTTATCAGGAGGAAAAAAAAATAACAAAAACAACTTTAGACTTCAGAGCACACTCAGAAAATAAGGAGTCAACTCCAGGAAAATTACACTAATAGCTAGGTGTGGTGGGACAGGAGGCTGAGGAAGCAGGATCACCTAAGCTTAAGAGTTTAAGGCAAGCCTGGATAACAGAATGAGACCCTTTCCAAAAATAAATAAATACTAAAGGGTATTCATGTAAGTAATAAATACAGATCAGTCATTTAGTTGGATAGGATAGATCCTTAAATTTGGTGCAGGAAACAGAATAGTAGTCCTGGTGTGTTGCCAGTGCATCCAAAGGAGAACCCTATACATAATGACTCGAGTAACTGAGTAAGCTTTCCTCCTTTTTTAACAAATTATTTTCCAAATGTATGATCAGATGATAATTCTACAAATATAAGGAAAGTGTGGTTAATCAGCAAAAATAGCCTTCTGATAAATAGAAGAAAACAATCTGAGAATATACTAATCATCCCTGCTCAAGGATTGTAATAAATAAAAAGCTATTTAAAACAAGCGAGGGTCTGAGGAGTTGAGGATGTAGCTCAGTAATAAATACTGCAAAAAAAAAAAAAAATTCACACTTGTTAAAGACATTTGGTAGATAAGTGAAGATGAATTTATCCTTTCTTGTAATCCAAACAAATAGCAATAAAACTCATCAAAAAGCATTACCAGGGGCTGGGGCTCAGCAGCAGAGCACTTGATTAACACGTATAAGGCACTGGGTTCAATCCTCAGCACCACATTAAAAAAATAAATAAAATAAAGACATTCTGTCCAATTACAACTACAAAAAAAAAAAAAAAAAAAAGCCTTACCATTCAAGGATTTGTTTATCTCATTCATATTAAGGTAGAACCAAGGTTCTAATGGTTTTAAATGGCCCTAAATATTGGAAATGATAAATGCTGACTGGCCTATTTTTAGATAAGAAAGTTACAATAAATAGTCTGTTGTGTGGACACACACATACCCTTAAACATCCAAATTAGAAGCAACTAGAATACCTATATCAAAAAAAACAGCACAAACTGGGTGTGTGGCACATGCCTGTAATTCCAGCAGTTTGGGAGGCTGAAGGAGGAGGATCACAAGTTCAAAGCCAGCCTCAGCAAAAGCAAGGTGCTAAGCAACTCAGTGAGATCCTGTCTCTAAATAAAATTCAAAATAGGATTGGGGATGTGGCTCAGTGATTGAGTGCCTCTAAGTTCAATCCCTGGTACCCAAAACAAAACAAAAAAACAGCACAAACAAGCACTCAGTTATTATTAATACATTTAGACAGTCACAAGTTTAGATCCTCCAAGATAAACATTTTGGAAATCCTCAGCTAGAAAAAACAAGAGGATTACATCTTGTCGAAGTCCTGTAAGAGGAACAAGAACCCCAAGGTAATCAGGACCCCAAAACCACAAATGCAACTCTAACACATTAAGATATTCCATTTCTCTTCTGCTTTAATGTGGGGCAAGAAGTGAGTAGATAATATATAATAAGCAGGTGCTTTTAAAATTGTGCAATCTTGATTGCTTTTTTAAAATTTATGACACAACCTATACACAATCAAACCATCTGTCAAAATCAAAACTGATGTGAATGCAAAAATCAAATATAAAAAGGAAGCCAGTCGTTATTTGTATACCTTAAACTATACACTAACAACTTTTCTGTGTTATAGCTAGAAYTTATCTGACTGCATAGAAAAAGAAAACTTTTTTAAAAAGCTAATGAGTTTATTTTGTTGTTGTTGTTGATACTGGGGATTGAACCCAGGGGTGCTCTACCCCTGAGCTATATCTCCAGTCCTTTTTAATTATTATTCTGAGTTAGGGTCTTGCTAAATTGCCTGGGCTGGCCTTGAATTTGCAATTCTCCCACCTCAGCCTTCTGTACTGCTGGGATTTTAGATCCATGCCACCGTGCTCACCTAATAAATACATTTTTAACCTTTTATTGGTTCTGATAATTTACCTCAAAGTAAAAATTGCAATATCTACATACCTGAAATATAAATTTAAGTTAACAGCAATTGCAGAGTTGGAAGAGCTGACAATCACTACAACATCTAGATCCTGAGATACTTTCAGTGAAGTGAAAGAAGAAATCTTGGCTGGTTCCTGTTGCTGCTTATTGTATACATTTTCTTGGTAAAGTGCTAATTCCACATGAGCTACATTTCTGCCATTCACAGTATCAAAAATATCTGAGTTAGAGTTAAAGAAAACATCAGTTTATAAGTATACCTAACCATTTAAAACACTGGATGGTACAGTGCTACAGATTCCATTGCTGCAATCTTGTAGACAACAGAAGACTGAAAACCAAGGCAGATCCTAYGGTAGTATCGAAGAAGATATGAAGTTGGTGGCACAACATACAATCTGATACAGGATTCATTCAATAGTATTCACTAAATAACCACTCTGTGCCAGACCCTGAGACACTGCTAATATTTTCCACTAGGGTTCAACAATAGTGCTATATAAGAGATCAGATGAAGCTAACTTTAACATTTTACTTAAGCCAATTGATTCAAAATATCATTTCAACATGTAACCAATAATAAAAATTGAAATATTATGCATTTTTTTTCTTAGTAAAGTGCTTGCCCAGCATGCATGAAAGCCCTGGGTTCAATCCCAGCAAATATGTGTGGACAAAGAATTCAGATCCCAAGTTACTCCACCAATTTTGAATCTCAACAGCCACATATACCCAGTGCCTATGTTAGGTAGCACAGGTTCTATAATCCAATGGCAAAAATTAATTTAAATCTAATATTTTATGACATCTTTGCATGTCATAAAAAGTCATCTAAATCCTTCCTGGAACAAGCATACAATAGGTACTCAAGAAGTATATTTTGAATAAACAGCTAATGCAGCATACATACAATTTTAAAAGAACACAAGTATGGATAATTATGACTAAAAATACATYTATACCTTAGCAAATATTTCAATAGAATATAAAGTGATATGGTTTGAGTATTTTAAGTTTATGAGAATCTTTTTCTCTGAAAAGTTTTACTAAAAAACCAACCATTCTCCATATACTCAGTCCCCAAAACTACAAGCTTAAAAGGCTTGTCTTTCTAGACATTCTCCTTCTCTATATATGAATTAACATATTTATTGCCAAGGATACAGATCCAGCCTAAACTACTCAAAACAAAAAGAACTCCTCTGCAGAGCTGCATGTCAATAATCGTGTCCACTGTCTGTGTAGGCAAGGATAATGTGAAGCAGCTGAGTACTCTGATTTCAGAATCTCTTTCAGGAAACATGATATGGAGGATGATACATTTGTTGATGAACAATAATGATGTATTATTGTTAAATGAGAGAATCCTCAAAGACAGTAAGGAAATACCTATGAAATAAAAGGATGTTATTTCAAATTCATTGCTCACAATTTTACAATTGGTAATCTTGATCTTATAAACAAAAACAGGTAAAACAAAAAAACTAAACTTACTTCAAACTCAAGGTAGTTATTATTCATACTCACCTAAGCAAGTGGTCACTGGGAGGTGGGTAAAGGAACAAATAAAGATGCCCTACAATGTCCCTGGTTTCTTCTGTTTATGGCCACAGTCTGGCAGCACAACAGGAGGGAGATTTTAAAAAGCCAATTTGCCCACTGGACCCCACAGATCAGAAATCTTTTTTAAGGAAAAAATATGAAAACTTAAAATCAAGGACAGGGAGTTTGTTACTGCTTTAAAAATAGAAACCTGCATGCTTTAATTTCTGCTCCTGTAACCATTTGGACAAAACATAGTCAATAGCTCTATAAGCAGTCTAGATTAGCACCATCCAATAAAAATGTGTGAATCACAATAAATGAGACACCGCCACATTGAAAAGGTGAAATTCATCTTAGTATGCATTATTTAGTCCATTATAGCCAAAATTATCATTTCAACATGTACTTAAAAAGTAAAATATTGGGCTGGGGATGTGGCTCAAKCRGTAGCGCGCTCGCCTGGCATGCGTGCGGCCCGGGTTCGATCCTCAGCACCACATACCAACAAAGATGTTGTGTCCACCGAGAACTAAATAAATAAATAAATATTAAAAAATTCTCTCTCTCTCTCTCTCCTCTCTCACTCTCTCTTTAAAAAAAAAAATAATAAAATAAAATAAAATAAAAAGTAAAATATTAGCTGGGCACATGGCACACACCTGTAATCCCAGCAGCTTGGGAAGCTCAGAAAGGAGGAATATAAACTCAAAGCCAGTCTCAGCGACTGAGCAACAACCTATCTCAAAATAAAAATTAGAAAGGGCTGGGGATGTGGCTCAGTGGTTAAGTGCCCCTGGGTACAATTCCTAGTGTGTGTGTGCATGTGTGWATAAAAGTAAAATGTTAACAATTTTTTGTGTTAAGTACTAAATCTTCAGGGCTGGGGATGTGGCTCAGCGGTAGAACGCTCGCCTTGCATGTGTGCAGCCCTGGGTTCGATCCTCAGCACCACATAAAAATACATAAATAAAATAAAGATATCGTGCCCAACTACAACTAAAAAATAAATAAATATTTAAAATAAATAATTAATTAATTAAAGGTGTTGAGTCCAACTACAACTAAAAAATATTTAAAAAGTACTAAATCTTCAAAATCTAGTACATAAATGACATTTAAAGTATATCTTTGTTTTAACCTCATTTCAGTGCTCAATACCCCAAGTAGTTAGTAGCTACTATAGTAGACAATGTAGACCTCCCTCCCTGAGTTCACCTGAGACATTTTCATGAAATATCTAAGAATACAAGGTAATGTCACAAATTTAAACATGCTGGAAGACCACATATATGTACTTACTGACACCTTGCTCTTCAATAAGCTTTTGCAGTGTCTTCCCACTGCAGTTGTACAATATGGTTGCATCACATCTTCCATCTTTCAAGTTAAATTCATAAATTAACAGTTCATAATTTTCACAAAAAGCGAGCAGTTTGGGTTTGTCCGTTGAAGTGCYGTTATGAGAGTCCTCCCATACAAAACTAAGGAAAAAGATTAGATTTATCATATTCTATATCCAATCATATTTATCCAAAATAGTAGGGATAGTTACTTCACTTGGTAGCATCAATTCTAGATTCAAACTTAGAGAATATAAATTGTTCCAGGATTTGCCACCCTCGCTCCCTCTTCTTTGACTTCTTCCCCCTCTACTCCTTCATACTAACATAAGAATATGGAATTGGGTGATAAAAASTGGCCATGGAGCAAGAAATGCTGCCTCATTTTATTCTTTCATCTTAAATCCTGATGTTTAAAGAAACTGTTATGATCAAGAATAAGTATCAATAATTAAATATGTATATTATTTATGAGGTGGTGCTTAATAGACTTTTGCTGGGCTAAATTTTTTGGGGGGTTTTTTATCTTTTATTGATACTGAGGATTGAATCCAGGAGCACTTTACCATTGAGCCACACCCAGTCCTTTTTGAGACATGGTCTGCTAAATTGTTGAGGCTTCTCTTAAACTTATGATCCTATTGTCTGCCTCCCAACTCACTGGGATTACAGGTGTATGCCACCATATCCAGCAGGTAAATGTTTTTTAAAGATGTTAAAAACAAAAGTGATTCTTTGTATCCACAGACTTTAAAGACTCCAAAATGGCATATAAAAATTGTTCAATACAATTTTGTGTGAAAACAGAATACAAACTGCTGCCTAAGATAGTAACCAATAACCAGAAATGGCTACAGTTCCCTTGAAATGTGGGTAGTGCAACTGAGAAAATGAATTTTTAACAGCCTCGTGTGGCTTATGGCTACCATACTAGACTGCACAGTTATAGAATTCTTAAAGTACTGTGACACGAAAATATCAACACTGGTTAACAAGTTTAGAAAACTAATGATGCTATAATTTCAAATATTAAATTACATTTAAAAAGTAAAAATAAAAGGGCCCAAGCTAGGTGCAGTGGCATGCACCTCTAGTCCTAGCTACTCAGAAGGCTGAGGCAGGAGGATCTCTTGAGCCTAGGAGTTGAAGGCCAATTTGGGCAACAAAGCAAGACCTTATTCTCAAAAAGATAGGAGCACCCAACACAAGGCAATAGAAAAGATAAGGCTACCAAGCTGATATAGTTTCCTTTTTAAAAGCTTCCTTTTTCTACAAAAGTTTTATATCAAGTAGGAGTGGTGCTATTATGTCTTTACTAGATAAGATTAACAATGTTTCCATTTGTCTTTACAACCAAACTGATGRGTTTTTCACTAATGCTCAATTTGTTTACACTAAAAATATCAATGAAAAAGTTAATCAAATTTGTATTTTAAACAGATGATTCTGTAACATTAAAATTATTAGCACATAGAATGACTATACTGCCACTTGGAGAAAGGAAACTTTTGATGAAAATAAAATATAATTTCAATAATGCAAAAAAACTACATATTTAAAGTAGGAAGTAAACTTCACGACAAACTTGTCCTTGTTTTTTACCTTAGAAAGTATCTTAACTGAATTAAAATTCAATTCAAATAAAGTTGAAAAGCAGCCTTTTTGAACCTCATTTCTTAAATTCAGGAGCCAACATATGAATACCCAAATTATTCTTATCTCCTCTGATAGGCTCTCATAACACCTGTAGAGTTCTGTTTTTTTTCTCCACCCCATTTCTTTACTCTGCTGCATTCACAGGTATTTGATACTGTTGAATAAACTAACTTCCCTTATGGAGAGATTATTCTTCCCAGCAACCAGAGGCAAAATAAGGCAGGCAAACAGAACAGGTTAAAACATTTACTGATTTCACAAACTAATCTCTAATTGTCAGGTGTTGTTACAGGATCTTGAGATTTCAAGGTGAGACATCTCTTTGCTACTCTGTCTTTAAAAAACTTTTTTTTTTAAAACTGGGGATTTAGTCTAGGAGCGATGTTACCACTGGGGTACATCCCTAATCCTTTTTTAGACAGGGTCTAAATCGCTGAGGCTGGCCTTGAATTGCGATCCTCTTRTCTCAGCCTCCCTAGCCACTGGGATTATAGGCGTGTGCCACTGCACCCAGCATTAAAAGAGATCATTTCTAAGATATTTTCTATTATTAAAAAATGTAGTTAAATACTCAGAGGACACTCAAACTTTATGATGTAAACTGTAAATCCTGGACCAAAAATAAGTGGAAAGAATCCTTTTTTTTTTCCAAGTCTGCCTCCCCAGTCACGGGAGCATCTATCTCACAAGTAAGAATGGTGCCTTATGCAACTTTACATGCACTGCTTCTAGGTAACAGTAGCTATAGAACTCTTTATTAAATAAATCAGTAAGTGAATGGACAAAGTRGGCTCTCTCTGAAAGTTAAAGGGGCGGGGGAGAGTTGGTGGTGGTGGTGCAGGCGGGTATCTGTTAAGAAAACTCCTGCTTCAGTTAAAAAAAAAAAAAGATGATTCAAATTAGAGATAATCCCTGGCTAGCATCTTGGCATTGTGACATATAATCAACTTGTGTTGAATCAATGAAAGTAATCAGCGCCTAAACCAGGACCCATTCCGGGTTCCACAACTAGCAGAGGCGCTGGATACCCTCTCCGCCCACCCACAACCGGAAAGCCCCGTGTGGAGATGCAGGAAAGTGAGCTTTTCGCCTTGGGTCCGGGAAAAATGTTTCGAGAGGGAACAGTGCTCGCCTAAGGCGCTTCCCCCGACAATCACCTCTCTTCCACCACCCCCATACTGTGAGAGGGTCTAGCTCTGACCCCGCGGGGTGCGGCCACCGGAGTTAAAGCTTCGGACTCCCACCCTGCCCAGCTTTGTCGCCGCACTTACTGGCCGAAAGGACCCTTAAGGCAGCAGCCACCCCCACCCGGGCCGCCGGGTGCCAAGGAAAGCACTTGGAGGCTGCCCGCGGCCGTCAAGCTCCCTAGAACCTCCTGCTCTCTGTGCATCTGCGCTCGGGATCCCAGCCGCTCGATCGCCTCGGAGCGGACCGGCACCAATAGCATAGGTAAGACTGGCTCCATGGACTCGGCGGGGCAGCTACCGCCGGCAAAAGCAGCACTTCCGGCCTCTTGCTTCGCGGCCATCTTCGTCAAACCGTTCCTTCCGGTCACCTGTGTTCAGGAATTGACTGCGTCTCAGGCATGCGCAGTGTCCCGAGCTGCTCACGTGCTGCCTCGTGATTCTCTCCAGAASCCCTGGGCTGTTTCTAGCCAGTTGACTTTCCTTGCTTTTTGCAGGCGGTGCCGACCTCCAGTACGACCACAGCTGCCTTTCGCTCTTACGCTTAACCACAAAAATGCACGAAGGCCTGATTTAGCCGCCTAACGCAGTCTGTTGCAGCTGTTCTCACTGTGGTATTACCCTTAGTCTAGTCGCCTCCTGCTCCTTCGGTCCTGACTTCTCTTATGCCATTATTTGTTTACAGGCTCTGGGATGGTGCCATTTCCTTGGTAGCAATAACCAAGTCTTACAGTGCAAATCCAYCATGAAAAGGTAGACCTGAATGTTGAGGTCAAATAATAACCATTGTAACTGGGAAACGGGTAAGTTTAAACGGTGGAGATGGTGGAGCTCCCATTTTCATTATTTATGCTTTACTGAGGAAGTATGGTACAAGATCCTTAGAAGAATGAGGGTTGAGGACATTTTAAGAAGGCGTCTGGGGATGGTCTCTTACTAGCAGTACTTTAACACATTTTCATATTCAGAACATTTCACTTTAACTTGTATCGAGAGACCTTTATGGACGGTTCAAACTAAAGGCTCCTTCATTCCAATTACTTTCTAATCATCGATTTTATTTCCCCATGATGCTTATTACTACTTGATATTTTGCATCAGTTCCCATCCAGCCAGTTATGTAAACTTTAAAAAAGCAGGAACGCTATGTTGCTCACACTGCTACCCTCTGCCTAAAACAGTGCCTGGTTCATAAAAAGCTCTCCAGTGTTTGTTGATGAATGCATAATTTTGTCAAAATGAAACCAAAATAGTTGCTTAACCACTGAGCCAAATCCCCAGCCCTTTTTGAGAGGGTCTTGCTTAGTTGCTTAAGGCCTCACTAAATAGATGAGGCTGGTGGCTTGCTTTGAACTTGCATTCCTCCTGTCTCAGCCACCATGATGGACTCTGAAACCAAACATTTCTTATCCAAAAGGAAAATGCTTATATCTAATCCTTTTAGCTCGTTTGAGCTATTTTCTTTAGCTAAAAAGGGGCAACAATGAAGCAACTTCCCAGGTTATACCTTTGTTAGCTATAACAAGGACTGACTTATAGTCAGGTCTTTCTTGGAACATTCACACATAAGATGCCCTTCATCATAGCTCCTAACTTACAAACAATTAACACATCATTTGATTACCTCTTTAATTATATTTTAAGTCATGCCTTATTTTTAGGCACATCATTTAGATTCTAAGAAAGGATATGAAAATGTTTGGGGCAGGATCCTCCAATATATGAATGCATAAGAACTGTCTTAAGACTCTCTGGATCACTGATGATTAATTTCCCACATAAGTAGTCCAGAACAGATCAGTAGATCCAAGTGAGCCTACAAAGAGAACAGATGTTAACCACAAGCGCAATTCCATTTTACAATTATTTGTGTGATTTAATTAATACCTGACTTTCTAGCAGATGGCCATTCTGAGGACAAAGATAACCTCTATGTATTTCATGTTTATATCCTAGAATAGTTGTCCCTCATTTTTTTTAATTTTTTTTTAAATTGTAGGTGGACACAATACCTTTATTTCTGTGTCATGCTGAGGATCGAACCCAGTGCCTCACACATGCTAGGCAAGCACTTTACCACTGAACTACAACTCCAGCCCCCTCATTTCTTTTTTAATATTTTTAGTTGTAGATGGACACAATACCTTTTTTTATTTACTTATTTTTATGTGATGCTAAAGAGAACCCACTGCCTCACACATGCTAGGCAAGTGCTTTACCACTGAGCTACAACCCAGTCCCCCCCTCGTTTCTTGAATGAATTCACTTTTCAGATTAATTTCTGCCCTGTAAATAGCACTATAAATGACCCAACACCTAGGAATAATAAAATTTGGCAGAAGAAACAAGCTATAAGGCCCAAACTTGGGCCAGACTGGTCACTCAGTAAATGCCAGAATATCTGAAACTGCTTCTAAAGCACATTATCCTCCATGCTCATAGTTTATAAGAAAGTAGGGAAGGGAAAGAGAATGTAAATTGGGCTTGAGCAAGGGGCTATAACCTGGTTTCTGCTATCACTTACTCCATCCTGGCCTCTAGCTGCTGAACCAGTTGTTTGTCCACATGGTGACAGAATAGAGGAAGTAGATTGCTGGGGAAGGCCAGGGGTTCTGCCAGAGAGGCTGTAGGCATTTGGGCTATCTCCCAGGCAATCAGAACCACCATGTCTGTCCTGGAAGACAGAAGAAACACATCAGAGCTTTTATGTTTATGCAGGAAACGGACTCTAGGACAAGGTTTCTTGTCTTTCCACCAGTACTTCATTACCCCTGCCCCCAGATAGCAATTTGGTATGTGGTATGCAATGCTTAAGGCTTATAAATCTTTCATTTTGGGGAGGAGGGTGTTACTAGGGGGAAAAAATTGAACTCAGGGGCACTCAACCACTGAGCCACATCCCCATCCCTATTTTATATTTTATTTAGAGACAGGGTCTCACCGAGTTACTTAGCACCTTGCCATTGCTGAGGCTAGSTTTGAACTCAWGATCCTCCYGTCTCAGCCTTCCAAGCCACTGGGATTAAGAGGTGTTCGACCCCATACCCAGCTTCTTATTTAAACTTAATAGCTCTAAAGGATTAGAAACATCATCCTTAGTTTATAAATGAGGGAACAGATTAAGAAGTGAATAACTTGCCCCAAAGTTAAATTGCTGACAGGTGACATAACCAGGACTTGAACCTGGGTCTATTTAACTCAAAAGCTTGCCCTCTTAATTTCTACATTACACTGCCTTCCATAGAAAACCAACTCTCTAGGGCATTATAAGAAGGGGGGTAAAATGCAGAACAGCTACAACCCTGCTATTTCTCCTTTCTCTGCCCAGCCTCCTTTCAGAAATTCTTGAATATGCCACCTAGGAAATCTCTTATCTGGCTCAGCCTATACATCCTTAGGATACTGAACATCCATGTGCCTTTATGATCTTACCAAGCTGTATGATCACTGTTGGGTTCCTCTAGAGAAGAGTCCAGAGATACCAGCTGTTCCCCATGACTCAGCAGGGCATAGAGCAAAGATATTCCAAACTGCAAGTGAATACACACAGTTGAGGGCAAAATGGGTTTGTGGTAGGCATTTAGTGCTTCTCTTGCTGTGCTTTCTTCCCAACTAAAGGGTAGGTTCACATTTACAGATAGAGACCAATACCCACAAGAACTGTCAAGTTTTATTCTGGTTAGCCAAGGATTCATGACTTTCCCAAGGAATCTGAGCTGCTCCAAACATTCTACAAGCCTCTCTATGAGCTGACTAAATGTRCACTCCTAGGCTCCAACTCAGGAATCTTGTCTATTGATCAGGAATGGAGTCAGAAATCTGATACAGGTGGTTTGTGAACTCCACTTTAAGAAGCATTACTTTAAGCAAAGGTCTTTAGAGGGGAGTACACAAGATAATCCACTGGTATGTTGAAAGACAATATCAGAATTTTCACMTCTCAAGTCTCATCCTTTAAAACTTTCTATCTTATATTATTATATACCTAATATTATAGTTTTACATGTGATTTTTAAACACACTTAAATGACTTAGAAGGTCTTACTAAAAGGAACACAAGGCCAAATGTGGTGGTCCACACTTGAAATCCCAACGAGGCAGGAGGATGGCAAGTTCAAAGCCAGCCTCAGCAACTTGGCAAGGCCCTGAGCAACTTAGCTAGATTCTGTCTTTTTTTTTTTTTTAAGAGAATTTTTTAATATTTATTTTTTAGTTTTCAGTGGACACAACATCTTTTTTTATTTTATTTTTATGTGGTGCTGAGGATCGAACCCGCACCCCGTGCATGCCAGGCAAGCRCGTTACCGCTTGAGCCACATCCCCAGCCCCAAGACTCATCTTTAAATAAAGGAAAAAGGGCTGAGAATGTGGCTCAGTGTTAAGCACTGCTGGGGTTGATCCCTGGTACCAAAACAAAAGGCAAATAAGAGTTAGAGATTGCTACAGAAGCTCACACCAGCAGTAACAGAGGGAGTCTGGTAGAGAAATAGATGYGTACCCATCCATCCATCCCTGAATTTCAGATGGATAGGACAAAGAAACTGGTGTTTTAGTAAGCTTCCCAGGTTAATCTGTGCTCAATAGAAGTTGAGAAGTGCTGCAGAAAACAAGACATGTGGAGAGAGGAAAACATTCCCTCGCTTATTCCTTACCAGCAATACCACTTGGAAGGTATCAAACAGCAAAAAGAAACTTTTTGCTATTTGTATTGGGGTGTTTGTTTTTTGGTACCAGAGGTGCTTAACCACCGAGTCATATCCCCAACCCTTTTTTGAGACGGGGTCTTGCTAAGTTGCTGAGGCTGGCTTTGAACTTGGCAATCCTCCTGCCTTAGCCTCCCTAGCTGCTGGGATTACTGGTGTGCATCACTGCGCCCAATTGGGAAGCTGTTCATGGAAAGAAAAGACTCCCAGATGTGTTACCTGGTTCTGAAGTACTGCAGTGACTGGCCGTTCAGAGGAGCCAGGTGGTAGCAACATTAGCCCCTGAAGTCCTTGGAGGAGCTCAGGGAAGGTCATGTGACTGATACATTTGCCTAGAGGCTTGAATAACTTGTGTAGGGCCTGCAAGAAGGTCAATAAGCACTTCTATCAAACTCCAGTACAACTTCACCTGGTCTTATCTTGCCTCCAGCCCCTTTGCCTTGCTGGCCTGCTCTTGGTACCTTCCCCGCTAGGTTACTTTCTAGACCTATCACCATTTATTCATCTCCATCCCTAACACTGAGTCCTGTGGTACCACCTGTTCCCTGAGGGAAGAAAATATGGAGCTCAACACTTATCAGGGGGCCCCTATCTTCTTTCAAAACACCACAGCACACATCTATGGAACCATACACACATTTTCTTTTGCACATCATACCTGA